GAATTGGAATTATAGGTAAGTGGTAAAGCACTTGCCTAGTATATCTGAGAGGCTCAGGGTTCATTCCCTAGCAACACACACACACACACACACACACACACACACACACACACACAAATAGATTCCTGGGCCCTATCCCTAGAGTCTTATTCAGTAAGTCTGTCTTGATCATTTGCATTTTAACAACTCCCAGGGGACTTGGTTGCTGGATACTTTAAATATTAAGTTTCTAGTTAACTTCTGAGCAGAGGCAGTTGAGCTCTCACCAGAAGCCTTATCTTTAAGAACAGAACCAAAAAAAACCACAAAAAACAATTAAGGAGGAGGATGCTAAGTCATCCCTTGGAAGAAAAATCACCTGGTCAACTTAGCAGGTACCATGGGGTCTCTGTTCGTGTTTGCATTGATAATATGCTTCTTGGACTAACCTAAAAGAAATGCTGCTGGAACAAAAGCTACAGATAAGGTTGAGATGACGGGACAAGAATTCTGCCTGAAGTGGAGCTGACCGCGTAATCATGGGACTGGTTATCATAGGAACTAGTCCTCTAAGGACAGAAAACCTATTTGTGCATAGAAAAAGATTAGAAAGGAAAAAAGCAAATTGTTGGTGGCTCTCTCACATCATATGCACATTGTGATTTGGGATGATTTTGTATTTTTTGCTGTATTTGTCTCTCTTTTACATTTTCCTACAAAGAAGACTTAAATGTTTTCATTACCAGGAAGGAAAAAAAAAACTATTTTTTCTTTTTAGTGTAATTTCATATGTTTTTGGTCTGGTTCTGTTAGGTTGGTATTTCTTTACATTCTTCTCCTGGGAAAGGCATTCTTTCTGCCTGTGACAGTTCTAGTGTTCTGATGGCCCTAGAGATAGCTGAAGGCAAGGCCCAGACATTTGCCTGCAATCTGGACGCTGGCCGCAGGAGGAAAGTAAGGTTGATAAGGTTGAGGAATCTTGGAGCAGAGGCCTGAAGTTCCCAGGAATTAGAAGCAGCCCCCATTTCTCCCCCTCCCCCAAATGACCCCGTACAAGGTATCTTGAAGGCTCTTCCCTGCCCCTGCTTCAAAGGGTTGAAATAAGCTTTAAGTGAATGTAGAAAACGTTAAAAGGTTAAAAACAAGAGAACAAGAGGCATAGTTCAGTGGTACAGTGCATGCTTAGCATTCTCTAGTCCTCTGTCCCATCCCCAAGCACCAAAGAATGCTAAAAAATAAAATAGAAAATAAGAGAAGACTGCTGGGAAAGTGGGGAAGCCATAGCCATATGGATCTCAAACCTGATTCCCTGCCGTGGTGGTCTGGTTTCCCAGTGTCTGAACTACTTGTGTCTACTCAGGATGGCTGGACCAGAAGGAAGGCACCCAGTGTGGCAGAAATCATCTCGTAGGCCCGACTTCACGGAACCAATGCTGGTGTCCAGGGCGGGGTGAAAGAAGCATCCTAGTTGATTGTCATGCCAGCTTATTTTCAGCAATTCGAAAAGACCACATCTAAATCGCCATATTTTGCTTTTGTGAATCTGGAAAAGGTCAAAGAAATTGATAGGCATGTAGTTCACACCTGGCAAAACTTTCCACCAAAACTAGGACTCTACTGACATCTGCTGGCATTTCATCTACTTTATGTTTAAAAAGAACAAAATAAGATAAAGAAGCTTTCACGTTTTTTTTTTTTTTTCCTACAGTCCTTTGACCATAGCTAAGTGGGTTTGACCTGAATAATCATAGAAAGAAAAGTCTGAAGCGACCTTTTCCATGTCCTAGAGGAAGAGGTGTGGACAGGTCATGGAGTGAATATATGCCCTACAGGAAGGGCCTGCAAGCTGCAGAGTTCTCACTGCCCTCTGCTGTAAGCCAGCTGCTCTGTGACCTGAGGCAAGGCCCTCCACCTTCCTTTCTTCATAGGGAGAACTAAGCAATACTTCTCCTCCCATTATCCTTTATGGTCTCTGAGGATTCTGGTGGCCATTCTCAGTTACATTTTCATTCAGATAAACAAGATTCTTTACCAGTATTGTGTTTTCAAAAGATGAAAGCTGGGGCTGGGGATGTGGCTCAAGCCATAGCGCGCTCGCCTGGCATGCGTGCGGCCCGGGTTCGATCCTCAGCACCACATACCATGTTGTGTCCACTGAGAACTAAACAATAAAACATTACAAATTCTCTCTCTCTCTCTCTCCTCTCTCACTCTCTCTTTAAAAAAAAAAAAAAAAAAAGATGAAAGCTGTTTAAGCCTCCACAAAGCCCACCATCTCTGGAATTTATTCCTAAAAACAACAACATTTAAAAGATCAGGGAGGAGGCAGGGAGAAAACAGGCACTATTCTCTCTGAATTGTCCACATTTTGGCCCTAGGAAACTATGAACCTCATTCTGTGTTTTGGAACATGTCATAAGCCTTCAGGTTGAGAAAACACTTCCCAGTTAATGCCAACCAAATTATTTGTGCTTTTTCTGTCTGGTCTTGGGAAACTGTGTGGGCCTGTGGTTTGTTAGACCAATAACAGGATATTTGATAATCTCCAGGGAGTTACAGTCCACATTTAGCCTGACAGAGGAAGAGAGGTCTGACCATGAAAAATAAGGGAGGCGTTTATTTCACGCTACTATTTTATTTCTTCCTCCTCCCTCAGAATTCTGACCTCACCTTCAGGTTTGCTGAGGCTTCTGATGCTATTCATGGTTCTCAGGAAACTGGACTTTGCTAGTTGTAAAAGGAGATTTACGTCTTCAAGCTCCCAACTCTTCCCCCAGAAAGCTGTTAGGAATGACTGGAGCACAAAAGAAGCAGGAAAAACCCTGTGAGCTTCATACCCATCAGGATGGCTGCATTCAAAAACCAAAGAAAATAGCAAGTGAGCATATACGGAAAAAAAAAAAACAAAAAACAGAACCCTTGTGCATTGTTGATAGGAATGTGAGGTGGTACAACTTCCATGGAAAACAGTGTGGTGGTTCCTCAAAAAACAAACACAAAATTACCATATGATCCAACAATTCCACTTCTCAACCGTTACCCCCAAAGAATTGAGAGCAGGGCTAGAGATACTCATGTACCAGTGTTCATAGCAATATTACCCATAATAGCCAGAGTAGAAGTAACCTACGTGTCCATTGACAGACAAATAAATAAGAAAAATATGGAATATACCGCAATGGAATATTCTTCATGAAAATTCTGAGTGTACTAAAGCATAGAGCGAGGTTGAGGATATTATTTGGAGTGAAACAAGCCAAAAGAACGCATCCTTTATAATTTCACTTATTTGAGATATCCAGAGTAGTTGAAATTATAGAGATAGAAAGTAGAATAGTGACAGAAGCGGGGGGGGTGGGGGTGCTCATCTATAATCCCATCACTTAGGAGGCTGAGTTCAAGGCCAGTCTGGTCAATTTAGTGAGACCCTATCTTAAAATTTAAAAAAAAATAAAGAGAGAAAGAGGGAAGGAAGGAAGGAAGAAAAGAAAGGAAGGAAGGAAGGGAAGGAGGAATGGGATGTAACTCAGTGGTAGAGCACCCCTGGGTTCAGTACCCAGTAACACACACACACACGTAGAATGGTGGTCAACAAGAGCTTAGGGAACACGGGGATGGGAAATTACTGTTTAAAGGGTAATGTTGCATTTTTACGTGATGAAAACCATTGTGGCCATATATGGTATTGGTGGCAGCACAATAAGCTGAATGGAATTAATGCCACCGAACTATTCACTTGAAATGATTAGGCTTTATATTGTGTATATTTCAACACAATTAAAATTAACAGAAGCTAAATAGCAAAACCAAATATACACTCATAGTTCAGTCATCACCTGTGGCCCTTGCAAGGATTAAATCGCTTGACCATGATAAACCTGGTTGTACTGTGCTGGACTGTCCAACAGAAACTTCTGTGATGATGGAAATGTTCCTATTTGTACTCTCCAGTATAGTAGCCATCCGTCCCATGTTAGCTTTTGAGCATCTGAAATATGACTAGTGCAACTGAGATGCTGAGTTTTATATCCATTTCATTTAAATTCAAAGAGACATATGTGAACGTTGCAGGTAGTATTTCCATCTATATGACTATCTATTCCAAAATACTTTTCCTTTCTTAGCACTGACCAGTAAACCTAAGCACTCAGACTATAAGTCTAAGAAGGTGAAGGTAAGGAAGCTGCTTAGGTGTGAGCCACGGTTCTGTTTGACCCACAATACCAATTTGTTGCAATGATTGAGGATTTGATGCTCTGACAGCATTCGTTGGCATTAGTTACTGGATCCAAAAACAGTTTGCCTTAGTTCATGGAATAGCCTTTTCTAGTAAAATGCCCTTTTAGAGAGCTAGATTCCTTCTCTGCCAGGCTCAATCTTCCTTCACTTTCCCTTGTAAATCCATGGAGTGATGGTATGAACCACAACTGAGGTCCAAGTCCTTATACAGAAATTGCCTAAGCACATCACTCACTGCTTGGTTCGGGTACCCAGGCAATCAAAGGATCTTTTACCTTTTAAAGCTTTGTTGGAAAACATGGACAGGTAAAATACGTAACAAACAGAGATTGAAAGAATCACCCAATGGAAGGACCCCTATGTATTCATGCTCTAAAATAGGAATAGGAAGATAGGTCATCATGTATTATATAATATTGCTTAGGAAGATCTGAGATTGCCAGCAACAAAAAGAGGGCCTATATTTAAAGAGACTGCAAATAGAAAGTTTAAAAACTCAATCAGTGGGCAGCATTCCTTTGTGGCAACCCTGTATTTTATGGGACTATAGATGCCACATTTATCTTCATGCAAATAAAAAGTATCCTTTTATTAAAGGATAAAAATGAGTGTGCAAAATGTAGATAGCTATGTGGCAGGAAGGGGATAAATGAAAAGTTTTTATTTTTATTACACAAAATGAACATAGGCTGTCTGATTTTTTAAAATGAATAAATATATAAAACACCTTATTTTGCTGCAACATATTTGTTCACCAAGAGACATTTTTTTTTTTCTTTCAGCAATGGGTAGAAGGCCTGAGATCAATCATACACAACTTCAGGGCCAACAACGTCAGTCCAATGACCTGCCTCAAGAAACAGTGAGTTTTGTTTGCATCACCCTTTGTTCTTGGAAATTATCAAGCAGTGGTCACCTTAGGAGATGAAGTCTAAGTATCTTGTCAGGCCAATTCCTGCCTGCCTTCCCCCTCCACTTTCCTGACCTTGGACCATGAGCTTTGACCAACACAAATCTACACTCTTCATACAATCTAGCACAGCACTCATGATGAACCCATAGCCCCAAGCCCAGGGGAATCGTGGTTGATAGCCAAAAGCTATAGGAACTCCAGCCACTCTGTAGCCTATGGTTTTTATATCTTCAGTTTCCTGATAGGTAGTTCTACATGCCTGGGGCCCATAACTGGGTACCAGGGTAGCTCAACCTCCACTTCTGAAACAGAAATGGGGAGCATGGCAGAGAGAAGCATGTGCAGAAACAGCCTTGGCTGTGGTGAAAAAGGAGGCCCTGGCCCCTGGTCTAACACCTGCCGTTGAGCCACAATCAAGGATCCACACATCCTTGTGAATTTATTTCTAAAATTCAGTCAAGGATTCAGTCAAGGATCCTGAGGTCTTACCCCAGTTCATTTCATCTAAAATCCAGAGGAGTACTGCAGTGGTAGATTTTAACCCTACTCAAACTAGTCCTTCAAGGTGACATGAAAATTCTCCAAGAAGAAATCCTAGCCAAAGTCCAATGTTAGCCTTTTTAAAAAACAGTGGATCCATAAGGATGTGAGGCTGCCTGCATGTATAGAACTATCCGTAGAGTCTGTGAGGTGCCAAAAGGAATCACATGGAGAAATTGTGGGAATGCATGTTCCCCATCTCTCAAAACTAGGCTGTGGCATCAACAGTGTGATTCAGTGACTCATCGTCCCTGTTTGGTAGTGGGCGAACAGGCCAGTCCTATGGCACTCTCAGTCTTCACTTCCTGGTTATACCACAGATATGGATCTGGGCTATGGACCCCAGCTTTGCCACTTCAGGCAATTTCTCAGCTTCATTTTTCCCATCTGGGAATTAAAATTACCATAAAGGTGAAATTGGAAAGCACCTAGCCCAGTACCTGGCTTCCAGTCACTCCTCATGCAATACTAGTTACTTGAATGTTATAGTATCCCTCCAACTTTCTCTCCATTATCATAGTGGGGGGAACTTATATAGTTTTGTAAATTCCTATTTGCTGTTTAGCAGCCTTTTTTTTTTCCTTACAGTGACTCTGGCATATTTTTTCTTTTTCCTTTCTTTTCTTTCTTTTTTTTTTTTTCTTAAAGAGAAGCTTAATGGAAATTTCAGTGTTGTGACTTTGGTTACTGATAGTCTCAAAGGATCAAAGACATCGGAAGGCTCATTGATACTTAGTGACCCAAATATTCATATCCGGACACCAAATCTTCCAGCATCCTGTCAAGACGCCTTTGTGGAGCTGGTGTTGACCCATCCACCAGCAGCTCAGACCTGTCCACTTCTCCAGAGATTACCCTCTGCTAAGTGGAAGCCTCCATGCCCAGGAGATGATGCTCCTGTCTCCCTTTAAGGGGAAGCCTAAAGCCAATAGCAGGCTGAAACAGGGAATGAAAGGCCATCCCTGTGCCACCAAGGCTGGTGCATGTCACAGAAGATCAGGCTAAAGCTCCAGCTAAGACTGCAGCTTTGCTTAACCATCTTCCCTGCCTAATCTGCCTTCCTCACTCCCTTTTCCTGAAAACATCTTCTAAAGAATTGGTCACTTGTTCTTCCAAGAAACTTGACCAAAAACAGAAACTTTACCAAGTCCTGATGTTCTGTGGATGCTTAGGATATTATTAACTGGAAACAGTGAGAATGGAAGTCATTAGCTAAGAGCAATCCTAGTTCTACAATATAAACAGATGTTCTGGGTCCTCATGTAGTCCATGAGCATAGGGGGAACACGGAGTTATGATGACCTTCTCTGACCATTGAAGGTTAAGGAAGGTGGAGCTGTAATCTATGTTATGATACTGGGATCCTGGAGTGATGGATCCTCATGGGTCCTCAGGACAAGGCTGGCTGGTGTCCCTGTTCATTTGCATTTTCTGTCACCTTGGTATATTAGTAAAGTACAAGAATTAAGGAAGAGGTCAATCACAAATAAGTACTGGCAGTATGTTTTGCTCAGTTTAAGCATCCAATTTTATGGTTCATCTAGGTTTACTAGATAAAACATTGGTTCCTCAGTTAATTGAATTTTAGATAAGTAACAGATAATGTTTTACTATGTTTTCCAAGTATTATACAGGACATACTTACACAAAAAAAAATGTTATGCTACCTATCTGAAATTCAAATTTAACTGAAGGTTCTATGTTTTTATCTACTGAATCTGATAGTCCCGAATTCATCTCATACTACATAATTATCTGAGATTTTTAGGACAGATGTTTTTGTTGGAATACATTTTGTTTTAAAGTTCTTCATTGGATTGAAGCTGTTCCTTCTAATAAACAGTATTGTTGTTGTTGTTTTCCAGCTGGATGAAATTGGCGTTTATGACCAACACAACTGGTAAAATTCCAGTTAGGAGGTAAGTCAGTTATTCTTGGCCATGCTCCACGATACCAAACCAAAGACAGAGCTCTCTGCAAGTATTGTGTGTTAATTGCCTTTAAGATATTTCTGGAAGCTTAGTTTGAATCCTTTTGTCACATGCCATGTTCAGACTGTAGAAATCATGTGTGAAGGTAAAGTTGCATTTTTCCTCAAAACAGGGAGCATCAATACTGATAAAGAACATCTGAAAATGTAGTATTTTTTTTAATCTTCAGATAGTGGGTTTTAGGATTAAAATTTCTTTTACCTACTTACCTGAGCAAACCATCAGTTAAGTGAAGAAATTTATTCCGTGTACCTACTACAGAGAGAGGGTATGGATGGTCTTGGAAGCATGCTGCCTCTGGACATTCTCATTTTGGGCTTTGCTGCTCAGGGCTGCGGTCTTCGTTCAGGCTGCTATAACAGGGTGTCACAGATGGGATGGCTAACGAACAACCGAAGTTTATTCCTCATAGTTTTGGAGGTTGGAAGTCTAAGACCAGGGTGCCAGCCTGACCCAATCCTGGTAAGGGCCTTTTTCCAGGCTGAAGACTATGTCCCCTGACTGTGCCTTCACATTGTGGAAAGAGGGGTAGAGAGCTCTCTGAAGTCCCTCATGTCAGGGCACTAATCCCATTCAAGAGGGCTCCACCCTCATGGTCTAATCACCTCCTAAAAGCCTCTCCCCTGGATACCATCATACTGGTATTAAGATCAGGTTAAGATTTGAAACCACATATACCAAAGAGCTGCCATATCCTCTCCAACCCCACCCAGGTTAACAATGACAAAGGAAGACACGTTTAGGTAGAATAGAACCAAAAAGAAAGAGGACATGAGCCAGACATATCCTCTTTCATAGTTTTGTGCTGAGTTATTTCTCCTTCTGAGAATTCCCCATGCATTCCTTTTTCTGCTTCTGATTTTTTCTAAGATTTCGAGTTTGTTAACAGTGTATATACTTGAAAGTTCCTATGATGATAATGATGGGAATTTTTTTTTTTTTGTACTGGAGATTGAACCCAGGAGTGTTTAACCACTGAGCTATATGACCCAGCCCAGTTTATGTTTTATTTTGATACAGGGTCTGGCTAAGTTACTGAGCCTAGCTTTCAGCTTACAGTCCTCCTGCCTCAGCTTCCCAAGCTGCAGGGATTACAAGCCTGTGCCATCACACCTGGCAGTGATGGGAATTCTTTACCAAACCGGATCATTTTGCTCTGTGTTTGTATAAGCATTCATAAAAATTTCAGAAGCTAGGCTGGGCGCCAGAGTATCAGCTGTCCACACAACGCCAGAAGGGTATTTGGATTCATGATCCTAATCCCACCACCTGAATCAATCACAGGCTCCCCAGAACCAACCCATGCTTCCAGGATTCTTCAGACTCAAGTTCATGTTGAGGTCTTCTCTGGACATCCATTTGGCAAAGAAGCAAAGTGACAAATAGCAACAAATTCCACCAGCAGTTCTGGGTCTTAGAACTGACTCATCTTTCATGGACAAGGCAAACAGGTCAACAAGTACATAGCATTTGAGTGGATACTGGTCAGCAGTGACATTTCCATCTTTTCTTTTTCTCCCTTCCTGCCCAGGTGCTTTGTTCTGCTCAGAAGTGTCCATTCTGCATCCCCACACAAGTGTCTACATACCCCGACATTATTCTTGTCACAGTGAACAGAATGGTCCTATAAGTCATCATTTTTCTGAATTCCATAGGTTATAGGAATCATGAACTTAAGTATCAATGTGATACTTAATACTACTGAAATATTTATGAGCAAATAAGAAACAGAAATCACGAAGAAGCCTGTGCAATGCTCTTTTTATTTAAACTTGTATGAGGGCTTACTGGCTCACAGACCTCATGCAATTGTTGCAGTCTTTACAAATATATATATATATATATATCTGTATTACACACACACATACACACACACTCATGATCTATGGATCTCTGTTTTTTATTTAATAACTTAGTGACAAGTCAATTTTAGAATTTTTTTAAACAGGCTTGTTAGCACCTTTGACTGATAGTTGTTGACAAAGATGCACTACACCAACCCTTATTTTATTTAAAAATGTTTTGTTCCATTGAGCTATAGCAGAACAATTATTTTAATGTATCCCTACATCCTACAGCTATTGCTATGTAGAGATTGCAGATTTATTTAAAGTCAATATTGAAGTAATAAGCCCAAACTTTAGGGAGCCCAGATAGCAGTGTGATGAACGGAAATGTCAGTTGAATCTGTTTGCCATACCTTTCTATCCTGTCTTTTCTTTCAAGACAAGATTCAGGAAATGGACAAAGTAGAAGCACATAGATTGTGATCAAAGCTCTTGTAACTAGCACTTCTGATTTCATTTGTATGAATGCTTCCAATCAAGCTATAGTTATAGCTAAGTTTAGAAGCCTCTTCTGATTTCATTGATTTTTATCCCAGCATGTTCACATACAAAACTGTTACCACCTTTATGACAGGAATAGCCTAGATATTTTGCATCTTCTTTTACTTTCAACATGGACTCTTTAGTGTTTGCTAGTACTAACAAGTGTTTGACACAAGACATCTGTGACCTGGGGGCAGTTTGTTAGAGCTGAGGGAGAATTGATACCAAGCCAACCAAGAGCGGATAACTCTCCTGGTAGATGAGCTGCCAAGGGTTTGGTGGAAATTGTTCTTAATGTCTTAATGGATATGAAGCATAAACACTTTAAAAATGTCATTTCATCACTATCATTTTGCAGTTTTAAAAATGGAAACTATTAGCGTAGTGTACATCATGTTCATCTGTTAAAAGGGATCTGGCTTCTTTGCCATTACATAGCTTGAGAATAGCCCCTGTTCTTCATTATTAAACCAAAAATTTAATATCTGGGAAATTGCAGGAATGACAAATGAAGGAGGTCTACTCTTTGCCTTCCCCTTCGCTCTTCTTTTTATGTACGTAATCTTACACAGTCTGCCCTTCTGATTTCATTCTCCTACTTGGACCAGCACTTCGAAAATAGCTCTGTTCCTATCTCCCATCCCTTGAAACCTGCAGTGTGGTTCTGTGCCTAGAGAGTTGAGTGATGGGAAGCCAGATGATGGTTGTGGGTGATGGCTAGCAGAGGTCCTTAGGGAGGCAACTGTGGGAAAAGTAGCCAAGAATCTCAGGTGTGTGGTCATAGGGGCCCAGTGCTGCATTACCCATCAATGTCCTGGGTTGATTCTGCAGGGCAGTGTCCCATTCTTTCACTGCAAGAATCTTCTGTAACTGTGTCAGAAGATGGTGTTAAACTCCTGGATTCATTGCAGAACTTGTGTAGGAGCCCTTAAGTTTCTAGGATTGTTGCTCCCGTAGCCACTTGCAAGGTTCCCTGGACTATGGAATTTAACCAGAACTCTACTAGGACTGGACACAACTCAAGAGTGTTTGATTTTTTTACATTGCTTTTGAGGAAGGGGATGGTTTATTTTGATTTAACAATATCTCATTGAGTGCCTGTTAGCTATGAAGCACTAACTAAACTGAACTCTTTGCACATGAGGCTATAAGTATAATATAGAGAGAGCTGAATAAGTCAAAGTCCCCTTGTAAACACTGTAGCTTATACACATATTGTATTCCCATGAAATACACCCATGATGTCTAAAATGTCCCCAGCCTGGGTTAGGTGTGTTTCTCTCAGGAACCCTGTTAAAGGGCATCTTTTGAAAAACCCAAAGAATTCACTTTCAGTCCATCACCCCCACCCAGTCCCTGGTGTGAATGGGGACTCAAGAACTATTCATAGGGTTAGGGATGCTGCTCAGTGGTGGAGTGCTTGCCTAGCATGTGAGGCCCTGGATCTGATCCCTAGCACTGTCAACAAAATAAAAAAGAATGATTCATAAAAGTTTCTATAATAAAAGAAATAGACACCACTGCTGGAAAATGATCTGTTTAAATCCCTGCTCCCATTTTCTATCCTGGGTTTGTTTTCTTGTAGAATAAAGGTGAGCAAATGAGTAGTAGGATTGCCCAGCCCAAGTCCTCTCATGAGAAGGTGGACTTGAAAACTGTCCCTCCCCTTCTTCTCCTGCTTCCTTTCTCTCCAACACTATTTCTGTGTCCTCTTTCTTTGCACCCAGCCAAGCACTTGTGAAAAAATTCTACTCCCATAGACTCTTCCCTTCCCATAGCACAGGTTCTCTTTCACAATCAAGGCTCAGACTCCAAATTAAATGCATCCATGACCATGTTTATCAGTTTTCATTATGTTATATCAGGCTTGTCTAAACCTAACAGAGACTTGAGTTAGCTAGGTTTTCCTGAGATCGATATGCAAAGATTTTCCACCTAATTACAGGCACCTGAACCTGCTGTGGGTCTGTAGGTCTTATATTAACATATTTTTAAAAAGAAAAAGAAAGAAAGACACTCTAAATACCACTTTTACCCTGAACTTAAAAGACTAGATAAATCACATCTCACCCCAGTTCAATGTATATGAATTGCATAAACTTTCCAGACGTGAGAAAATTGGAGCATAGCACCCACGGTGCTAGAAATCTGTTGAGCAGTTTGTTAATATCACACACCTGTGCTCCACCATGTCTGTAGATTCATAGGCCTCCTTCTATTGAAATACAATTGACTCAAGCACTCTTAAAAATGTTCTTCTTGAAGTATTCTTGGACTTCGTATGAAACAATAAGGCTTTGAATGAACATGTAATAATTCATTCACCTAAAACTATTTCCTTCCAGTTTTGGGGAGTTGTACTTTGCAGTTGAAGTGGTGCTTTCTCCCACTCATGGAGAGTAAACTGGCTCTTAGTGCTTCCATGTAGAACCTATCTTCCACTTAACACGAGTGGTGGAATGTATGAAAAGGTTGTGTATGAGATGCTGTTCAAAACCCTCTGCTGCTCTGAAGACATTACAAAGCTAAGCTTCACAGGTGAAAGTAGGCTCCATCTTCAAATCAAAGATGGCCATCTGCAGTTAGAGTTTAAGTCATCTTGGAAATATTTAAACAGGATCACTAGGGACTTCCAACCAGGGAGTGAATGAAGGTTCCTTTGGTGGCTGAGGCTCAACTTAGAACCAAGTGTGGGTCTCCAGACTACCAAATCCTTCCCTTGATGGCTTTCATTCTCAGCATCGCCTATGTATTTATAATGAGAACTCTTTCCTTTTCTTACTAACACCAGGAAATGCACCCTATTATAGTTTTATGCATGTGTTTAGCTTGTATGGTCATTATACTAGTTACAAAGCTATTCAGTAATAGCAGGATTCCATTGAAACACTAGATAAATACCCACTCACCCCCACCTCAGGCAACCTATCATTTTCATAATAAAGTCTCTAATCCTTGAAGTAGTTAATATTGCCAAGTGGCTCAAGAATACTGAGCATGAAATAAAAAATCAAAATATGTCTGATGAGATGTTTCTACCATAGTAACTGTGAAATCCTAGGCTGGACTGAGTTCTGAGCGGCTGTCCTTTCCCTAACGTGCAAATGTTGTCAACATGAGGTTTGATTCTAGAGCTACTTTCCCATCTGCCACATTCCTTTTACCTAAGAAAATAATTTCTTAGGATCAAAATGTGTCATGTTTTCTCCAACAGTGTGTAGCCTCCTGGTCCTCCTCAAATGTTCACAAGCACCTAAGGGGACCACTTGTCTTAGAATCAAGTGCCATCCGTAGCAGAATCAGCTTTGGTGACCAGAGGAAGATCTGGTGTAGGGAATGAAAAGCACCCACAAATGAAAAGTAGTTTTAATATGCTTTTCTTTTTCCCACAGTCCCATCATCCCTAGAATTACTTGTATTTTTTGCATCAGAGAAAGCATGAATGAATGAATAATAACTTGAATTTTTCTTTTGTTCTCTCCTGCTCTAGTATCACTAGAACCTTTGCATCGGGGAAAACAGAGAAGGTGATCTTTCAAGCACTCAAGGAGTTAGGTCTTCCCAGTGGAAAGGTATTCATTAACTTCACATGTTTCTAAAATCATTTTGTTATTTATGCTCTCACATGTGGTAGGCTAGATTATTTACATTAAACTGGCCTCAGTAAGATTCAGAAACATAGAGTACCATTAATTTTCCCTTCACCTCTTTTCATCTCTCCAAACATTTTTTTTTTTTTTCTGCCAGGGATTGAACCCAGGGCCTTGTGCTTGCAAGACAAGCACTCTACCAACTGAGTTATATCCCCAGCTCATTTTGCCAAGCATTTTAATCAAAGTTTTGAGAACTCAACTAGTTTGTTTCAGAGTAAATTTTGTCAGCTGAATTTTGTCAGCCTTATTAAGATAAGGAAATGAAAGCCAGGCTGTTTCTTACACAGTTTATGGAGCTTATTTTAGAGAAGTCCAGCCATACTGTGTCAACTAGGTACAGCATCAGCTTGAATAATTAACTAATCAACTCAGTTCTTTAAGATGACCTTGCAATACTTTAGGAGGCCTCTCTCCTCAAACCAACTATTTGTGGTTATGGCTCTTCTGATTGGAGATAATTGAAATTAATTTATGGACTGAAAGAAAGATCTAAGCCGGTGACCACTTTAACGAGTTCTATTTGAAATGTACATTTTAGTGTGACAGGTAATACCTTGAATGGTCCACCTAAGCCCCTTTCTGTGGAACTTCTGAAAATTCACAAAATAAGCATAATTAAATACTGGGCTTGATTCATTCAGCATCTTTTAAGCAGGCATCTACTTTCTTCCTCAAGGAGAGAGAGAAAATATTTCTCTTTGTTCTATGGGTGTTTCTGAGAGAAACCCTGCTATAGCCAGATGTTCCCACAAACTGTGGTGTCCTAGTCACTAGAAGTGCTCACTTTCACATGCTGTGATCTAGCAAGGTGGTCAGGAAGTTGGCCTCCTGGCTTCTGGGATGCCAAGTGGTACACTTGACTTCATGACCTTGTAGATGCCTACCCTCAAAAAAGAAAAAAGTTCCTTGATTTGTGACTTTTTTTTTAACTCTTTACAGAATGATGAAATTGAACCTGCTGCCTTTACTTATGAAAAGTTCTATGAACTGACACAAAAGATTTGTCCTCGGACAGATATAGAAGATCTTTTTAAGAAAATGTAAGTTCCAGTTATGAGAAAGTGATGTGTAAATATCCTTGTTCTTTTAGATTTTTAAAACATTATTTGCCAGAATACGTTAATATAGGAGGTTGGTAGTGCTAGGAATATTCTAGTTAGGGTTACATTTTCACCCCTTAGTTTATCAGTATATAAATTTACTCTTGAGATTTTAAGAAACTTTGACATAAATTAATTTCAGCACCTGGAACTCCCCCCCCCCCCCCGCCCTTGGCATTGGCTTTACTAACTACCTACAATTTTAACCTGCTCCTTTAGGTATTAACCCATTATGTGAACTAACTAGATTCAATTTGGAATGTTAATATGTTGTTGAAAAGTGTCATTCATTCCAATTATTTCAAATGGATGACTTACATGTTGTTTTGAAATAACCTCTTCCGGTAATGCTAAAGAATTGCAGACATCTTCTGTGAAGCAGTGGGAGTGTTTTCTTTCCTTTGTCATTGTTGGGTTTTTCCCCCTTACAAACAGTCTGGCCATTTTAAGAATTTGCCACTATGACAGGGTTAGACAATAAGTTTAGAGTGATCACCAACAAATGTCAACATGTAAATCGTGCCTACTGTAGCAATCGTATACAAAAACTTACTTTTTCTAATAAATTTCTTTTCAGCAATGGAGACAAAACTGATTATTTAACGGTAGACCAATTAGTGAGCTTTCTAAATGAAGTAAGCTTTTTCATACATTAACTCCATAAAGTCTGTGTGCAGTGGCTTGCATCCCCAATGTCCTCATTGCATGCCCCATTCCTCTGCTCTTCTTTGCTTTGCTTCTGACCTGCTGATCTTTCCATGATGGCTCTACCAGGTGCAAAAATCAGCTCCCGCCCGTGTGTACATGTGCTTCCTCTACATTGGCTTTGCACCCTGCTTCTCGTTGGTTTCCCGCTGTGACATGAAGCTCTGCTTCTGTGTGTATGTGTGTGTGTTTTTTAATATATTTATTTAATTAAATGTGTCTATGTGTATTGCAAGATGATATTTAAGATAATTTTTTTCTCCTGTTGATTCCATTAAATAGAAAGATAATGGATTGAGTTTACCATACTGTAGATGGATTCTCCATTGCTAATTTTCTATCATACCCTTTGCATGGACTGGAGAGCTTTGTTTTTGTCTTTTAATGGATTGCATGTAAGAAAAGTATGTAGTTTCTGATAGAATATTTTGACAACAAGCAAAACACTTGAGTTCCTGGGTGAAAATAATCTATTGAGTATTAGGCCAATTGGATTGCAGGTTCAATTTTTGCTTTTTATTTTTATAACAAGCTCAGAGCTAACTTTAGAACATGATTCACTTAACCACCCAAACTGGTTGATGAAATTTACGTAAGCACAAGAGAAAAACATTTTAGGACAAGTAAAGGTCACAACTTTTATTACAACTGAAATGAACTTTTTTTTTCTTTACATGTACAAAAACCATTTTTAGCAAAATCTATCAAAGCTCTTAGGAAAAAAAAAATCTCTTTTTACCCCAATTCGTGAAAAATAAGAAGAATTTGAGTGAAGGATAAACAGCTTATTTTTGTTCCAAAATAACTTAAGTTAACCATCATGTTCTATGAAGAAACATCATTAATATAGAAAGGATAGGAATGGGCCTGGGAGGTAGAGGTTAATGGTAGAGCTCGTACTTAGGAAGGCCCTATGTTTGGTCCTCCACATAAAAAGAAAACAAAAGAAGGAGGAGAAGAAGGGCTGGGAATGTAGCTCAGAAGCAGAGAGTTTGCCTGTCATGTTTGAGGCCTACATTCAATCCCCAGTACTACAAAAAAAGAAGAGGAAAAGATGGTTATCATGCTAGACAGAAGGTATTGCCTTAAGAAAAGACAACAGGCAGTCAGTGATTTGCTACTTTGTAGAAACAAATCACTTTTTTGCCAGAGGTCCTCTCTTTTCATTCTTTTTGAAGGTTCAGTGGCTTCCGATTCATAGGGTCACACTTTAGAGACTATGTATCAACCAGAGTCCAAATGCACTGAGGCAAAAAAGAGAAGGGAGGGACTCCACCTGCCTGCACATAAGGCCTCCACTTTGAAGTCATACTGTCCATACAATACAATATTTATTTTACTTGAAAATGTTTCAGGTTTTTCCACTCCACTAGTCTCTAGTCATGTGAAAATTTTGTTCGAAATCTTTACCCAGATACTATCCACATTCTTATGCCACAGTCGCTTGAGAAATTAAATTGCCTGCCTTTGCTTTATTTCCTGGGCCCCTCCCCTCTCCCTCTTCCTCCTTTTGTGGTTTTTGTTTCATTGTTTTTTTTTTCCTCAGCTTCCTCATGCACTTTGGTTAATTGATCATCTTGAATTTGGTACCATGGGCAGGAATGAGCTTCCTGCTAACAAGGGAAGACGGTAGAGAGGAGAAAATCTACTGTGTCATCAACTTGTGCCTTCCTACAATAAGGCTTCTTATGTGCTGTGACATGGGATGGAGCCAGCAACCAGCCATCAATTAAATGGAAACTTCATACCACATTTTGTGTTCAAATTCAGAAATAGCCCTGAGGCTAGGTACAGCCTTCCTTGCCTCATGCCTGAACACATTTCCTTTTATGGGTTGTTTTTATCAGTCTACCCAATAGTCACTCTTTAAGTTCCTATACAATTTTTAAAATTTTATTTGAACATTTCATTTAAATTTTATGGTTCAATTTTTATTGAAGATTTTATTTTAAAAATGTTTAAATTTGTATTAAATGTTTTTAAGTCTTTATTCAATATACATATATATCAGATCCCCCGTATTTTCTTTGCCTTGGCATCCATTTTCTATACTAATAGTCAAGCTTTTCTCTCTCTCAATGACAGTAGACAATGATACTCTTTCAGTTTTTATGTTTCTTTCTATTTGGCTTCACCTTGACATTAAGGTGGTGGCTTGAGTTTTTGAGTGAGGCCGGATGGAATCAGTGTGATTCTAGATTTCTTCAGGTGATAGAAACTATAAGCCAGTCTAGGAAATTAGAAAGCCTTTATTTTTGATCCAACTTTCTGCCCCTGTATCTCTTCAGTTTCAGTTCTAGTGAACACAGCAGGAAGGACTAGTCAAAAATATGAGAGTAAAAAGAAGTTTTACCCAGAGAACATTCTGCCAACACCTGACACTCACTTTCTTGAGTCTACTCTTGTCCCTTCAATCTCTCCAAAAAGAAAAATAAAATAAAAACTTATCTTTAAATCAGAAAACTTAATTATAACGTGGAAGAGAAATATAGTTGCTAACTATGAACATAACTGTGCTGTGTCTCCTTTCAAAACCCATGCCAAAAGGGGACACAATGAGCTCTCTCAAGAAGGGATCTGGCCTTGGAATGTAAGGGACTCTGATCTGAAAGGTTACATCTTAACTTTTGGAAAATGCCTTAGCCATATTATCTCAACATGCAGTGTTCACCATTGCGGCTGGAAGCCTTGGATCATGCAATAAGGCAGGGAAAACTCAGAAACACTGGGAAGTCCAAGGCCTTAGCCTCTGTGAATACAGTTGTCAATGGTCCACATGGATATCCAAAACAGTTAACTGAAGAACTCTTTGAATTTATAAGAGAGTTCATCAAGGTAACCATTACAATCAATCTGGAAAGCAAAAACCCATAGATACACATGGCCATCAATGGTAACCAATTGGAACAGAGTAAAGGAAAAGAAATCCCCTTTATGATATGCTGGCTCCCACACCTTCTTATTCTTTCTGTGGAATTTTCTGTTCACTATACTCATGTGTACCTAAAGGAGGTGGGAAGGAGAGAATAAATGATTGGTCATTTATTACCTTGGTCTCTGTAGGGTCTATGCCACCCCCTCTCTATCCATGCCATTAACAGTCACTAGCCTGTCAGGGGTGGCTTCACATCTGCCTCCTCACCTGCTTCTCAGTATCTCCTTGGTCTTTGCTCCAAAAAGTGTGATCTGTGGACCAGCAGCACTGGTATGGCTCAGGGAGCTTGTTACAAATGCAGCATCTTCAACCCCACTCAGACCTGCTAAGTCAGAGTTAGTTCTCTTCACATTAAAGTCTGTGCAGCACTATCTAGTAGATTACTGGAGTCTTCCTTGGAATGCTTAGTGTAAGTGGGAAGAATATGAGAATGGTACACGTATTCTGATAAAGAATTTAGTCATGGCAATTCATCAATCACATCTAAAATTTTGCCACAGTATGTCAATAGGTCCCACCCCATGGACAGGGGGAAATTTTCTTTGCCAAACTTATGAAAATAACAAACTGGAGTCTAGGAATGCTAGTGGAGGCACTTCATGGAAGTTGGCACATGGTCTGATCTACTGTCAACACAGTTGCTTGTGTGTGGCAGAATTAAAGTCTCTGGGCTTCAGTTAGTTTCAACTCCTTTTCCCTGTTCCTAATGAGAAACTACATTGATTTTAGTATTGCCACCATTTTCCTATTTGGCTTCTTACACAGATGGCAAAAATTAAGAGCCTGCAGAATTGAGGGATGCATAAAGGATAGGATAGAAAGGTCAAAAAAGAAGAGAGGAAAAAGGTGGCACATGGCAACCTTGATCAGGAGTTGGCTTTATTTTCTTTTACTGGTTACTTTCCCCTCCTATACACTGTCGTATGATCACGCTCATAAATTCAAAGAGTTCTTCAGGCTAAACATGATTTTTTTTTTTTGCAGTTGGAAATATATGAGCAAGAGCTCACCATCTATTTCCTTTCACAATATCTTTATTCTTTAATGCACAGGCAAAGAGAAAAGAGAGAGGTATTTTGGCTTTATGAGTAAACTTGATTTTCCACTTATTCCTTTCTCTTTTGTATATCTTGTTTGAATATTACTTTTATTAACATCCATCTTCCCCAATGCTACCTGTATTGAAGTAGCTGATGCCTTTTCTTGAGAAGGACAGAGTAATGGGGACCTGTCCATTATCTCCTCATTTTCTTGGGTACAATTTTGTGACCTATTTTTGGAAGCTATTTAGACTCCCATTTTACAAAACACTGGATACTATGAGGTGAATATTCTGGGTACATTGCTTACCTGACTGAAAACTGATGGTCCCTCAGAGCTGGGAAGAATCTGCCTCACGGTGCTGTGTCTAAGTGGAACTCTTCTGCAACCTCATTACTCTGAGTGTACCTGGACATCATTTTCTCCTCATTGCATTTTTGCATAAAAGTTGTAGTTTTGTGACTCTAACTGTAAACCTTACCATTTGTTTCCCTGCCTCTGGATTATCCAGATTTTTTTTTCAATGTGAAAATTTTAGGGAAACCAAAGAGTATGTTATATGGCAGAATAGATGCAAAGACAAATGCAATTCCATCTTGTCTGCACTGCTTGTTGATTTGCACTAGGAATATAATTTTTAGAATAGTGGGTTATGAGACATACATTGTAAGACTCCGTTTTCCTGTCTATTGCTTCTGATAGAGGTTGAATGACTATCATGTACATTGACACATTTTTTAGATATTTTTTTAAGAGAGAGAGAGAATTTTTTTTAATATTTATTTTTTAGTTTTCGGTGGACACAACATCTTTATTGTATGTGGTGCTGAGGATCGAACCCAATGCTGCTCGCATGCTAGGCAAGCGCGCTACGCTTGAGCCACATCCCCAGCCCCCTCCTCTGACACATTTTAATGGGGTTTACCTGGAAGTCATTTTTGTAGATTTTAGGTACCTGGTTTTTTTTGTATGCATATACAAATGTGCTAAGATGCATACCATTATAGGTTAGAGCTTCTTAAACTTGGGTGCATCAGAATTCCTGTGTTCTGCCCCAGAGAATCAGATTCAGTAGATCCAGGCATAGAGGACTGAGAATCTGCATTTCTAACAAGTTTCCCAGATGTTGGTGACATTGCTGCCACCATACTTTGAGTAGCAGTTTTAGAATACACACATCTCTCTATATAAAAATACATTAAAATGTCTGAATTCTGTCTCCTCCTTTTCTCGATTTTTCTCTCTTCCCTCTCCATAGCGGAGTATCACTTCTTTCTGTCACTTTTTTAATTCATATGGATTTGCCCCATCATTTCTATCAGTCCAGAATACTTATCAATGAGCATATCTCAAAGTCAAAAGATTTCATTTTTAATATGGAAGAGAAATACAGTGGCCAACTATAAGTTAACTGCTCTGTGATCTAATAAAGGATCTTCCATGATACTGTTTATGGGAGGAAGGATATGCCTACAAAGAAGGTTATTTTGTTTGCTTTTAAAATAGTGCATTCTCACATGGGTGCAGGTGGTCATTCCCTTGAACAGGGAGCTCTACTGCATGATGGCCTCATTTTCTAAAACAAGGTGCAGCATGCCTTCACTTGCCTGGCACTCCACGGCCCACCTCACAATATCTTTTTCTGTGCTCATACCATCACTTTTGTTCTTTGTGTTCTCAAGAACCATTATGAATATAACAGTGTCTGCTTTGGCATTTGCATGATTATGAGCTGTTAAAACCTGTAATTTCTCAGATTACAACAGAAGCATGCTTCATTGGGATAAATTGCCAAAATATATCAATGCCTTATAATTTAATATTCTTCACTCAGTGGTGGGAGGTGGGAAAATGAGAAAGGCTAAGACCACCTATGCTTTAGGAAATGATATCAAATGTTCCATTGGCCAAAGGCATTCATTCTCAATATAGACTTTCACTCAAATGATCATCCCCAAACAAATGGGGACAGGAAATCCATATGAACTTTTTTTAACAATTGCTTTTTAAATACCTTTCCAATAATGTCTTTCAAAGTCTGTGCATATATTTGGGTAAAGAATTGTCGCTAAGGTTCTTTTTGTTGACAAGATCTTGCTCACATCTGCTTATCAGTTATTATTCCATGAAAGTTTGCTTTATTTATTTATTTATTTATTCATTTATTCATTCATTCATTCATTTGAGAAATGGCCAAGAACACAATGCAAACCTTTCATCCACAGTAAGGTGGATCCACTGCCTACACACACACACACACACACACACACACACACACACACACACACACAGATTGTAGCTAGGTCAAGTAGTAAGGACGTGTCACTATACCTGTGAAATTAGGATGACTTCACTTCAGGAAGCAGCTCCAGAAGCATCTTAAGTGCCCATTTTTAAAATATGATGTCATACATTTTCTGCCCAGACAATTTTCTCAGGGAAATGGAGTTAAATTTTATAGTGAGGCTGGGCATGGTAGTATGCACCTGTGATCCCAGCAACTTTAGAGGCTGAGACAGGAGGATCACAAGTTTGTGGCTAATCTGTGAAATTCAGCAAGACCCTGTCTCAAAATCATAATTTAAAAAAAAAAATTTAAAGGCTGGGAGCATAGCTCAATAGTTGAATGTTCCTGGGTTCAATCTTAACTACCAAAAAATAAGTAAATAAATAAATAAAATGACATAAAATAAAAGTTCTTAGCAAACAAGATGCTTCTGAACTACTTATTTAAATGCAATTTCATATGGTTTATAGCTTATCAATATTCCTTATTCTAACTTTTATCATGACAATTGATTTATTTTGAAAAAATATGAACTCGAGAAAATGAAGTTTTCAGGGTGCCCAAAAAGTCTCTTAATGACATAGAAAGATGTAATGAAAATGAAATGATATTTGCCTGTCTAACATTAGGGGGCTTTTTGGAATTGTTTTGGTTTTGGTTTTGCTTTGTCACTTAAGTTAATATATGATCTCTTGATTTATTGGAACTATTATTTATTTATTTATTTATTTATTTATTTTTGCTTCTTTTTAAAACTAGTTTTAACATTAAATTTTTAATATTATCAATATTTTGATCTCACTTTTTATAGACAGCTGTGCCCAAAAAATATGATATGGGAAATAAAAGACAATACAGTGGACACACACACACTATATTATAAGCCTTCAACTTTTGAAGGGGGAAAAAACCCCATATTTCCTCTCCTTCCTGTTCAGTGAGAGGAACCAACAAAGTACTCCCACATTTGGACTTTTTTGAAATATATTTTAGGAGGAAAGACAGAAAGGCAGTGAAGTCTGATCTTTTTCATTATAAACATGATAGTCTAGCTATATCTTGTTTTAGAAATTATATACTTAGATATGTGAAATGCCTCCAGGGTGAGAAATGTCAACCTAAATGGAGTTATTTTCTCATCATAGCATCAACGAGATCCTCGACTGAATGAAATTTTATTCCCATTTTATGATGTTAAAAGGGCAATGCAGATCATTGAGATGTATGAGCCTGATGAAGATTTGAAGAAAAAAGGTAATAAAAAATGTTTAAAAGGCCTTTTTTTTTCCTTTTGAAACAAGAAAACATGCAACTTTTAAAGCTCTTGGATTTTTAATTTACGGTATCTATTAATGCTTTGGAGCTCCATAGAGCCACATGCCACATATTAGTAACTGATTTCTTTTTTTCTGCTCTTAAGTTAGTGTAAATTACCTTTCTTCCAAATTAGTCCTTGCTGCCTAAGATATACCATTAAATTTATTGTGCTATTAAACATAGTATTTTTTTCCCTGCATACTTTCGTATACTACTAGATTTTTTGAATATTGCTTAAAATGTAAGAATGCCAAATACGGTCCCTATTTGCAGTCCGTGAAAATAATCTCTGTCATGAAAAGTTTTCACCTCCTTTTCCTCTTTTTTTGTTTTGCCAAGCCAATTAAATTTGACACATGATTTGATGTGCCCTCTCACCCCTCATTTGACTTCTGGAATGGAAGATAAAAACAAATGACATGAAATTAAATAGTCAGGAATTACTTTAGCAAATTGTTTGCATTTCTGGACCTTTGCCCCTTTCAATGAAACTTTGGAAACAATGTGTTGTCTAAATATTTGTCAAAGGAAAGGCATGGAGAAGAATTTGAAGGTCAGTGCCATAGCAGTGGGAAGCACCTGCTGAGGGCTGGAGGGATGGTGCAGTCATAACTGGACGCTGCTGGCCTCATGTCTCAGTGGACACTGAAAGGAGATCCAGGTTTAGGTTCTATCTGTCCCACGTGGTTATAAATTTCAGGGCTTCAGCTTCCTCCTCTTTAGAGTGGTTTCTTTCTCTTTTATTTTTATTTACTTGTGTATGTATGTATTTATTTACTTATGTATGTATGTATGTAATCCTCACTTGGTACTGAGGATTGAGCCCAGAGGTGCCTTACCACTGAGCTACATCCCCTATTCTTTTTATTTTATTATTATTATTATTATTATTTTAATTTTAAGACAGGGTCAGCTAACTTGCTGACGATCTCACTAAATTGCTGAGTTTAGCCTTGAATTTACAATCCTCCTCCCTTATTCTCTCAAATTGCAGAGATTACAGGCCTGCACCACCATGCTCAGTTAAAATGTGTTCCTTCTTTTTTGCATCTATTGCCTGTGAATGTGACTGAACAGTTTATTTGTTCTCAGAACATATATAAGACCTGTTTATAGATATGTCTAGCTCACCATACCAGGGTTTTTCCTTGATTGTAGTCATACACTTACACTTTTTTCTAGGGTCACAAGCACCTATTTTTATCAAGAGTACTTCATTATTTACCTCTACCAATATTCTGATTATCATAATTTTTCCACATTATATGTAATTAAAGCAGAGGGAGGCTCAGTAGAAGAAGTGATGAGGTTCATGTCACTTCCCTGTTACTGTGTAACCTCGAGTAAGGGAATTACATCCTGGACCCTAGTTTCCCTGCTTATAACATAGTCATTAACTTTTTCTCTTCATTACTGTTATTTTTTGCTTTTATTGTAGTTTTTTTTTTTTTTTGGTGGGGGTGGTTTCTTGGGATTGAACCCAGGACTTAACACATAGTAAACATGGGCTGTACCACTGAGCTATTCCTGCAGCCCCTACTGTCATTTTTTAAAATTTGTAGAGGGCTAACTGTGCACCAAGCACTGTGCTAAATGCTGGAAATTCAAAACTGCATAAGAAATGCCTCCTGCTTTGTAGGCAGTTTTGATCTGTTCAAAGGGTAAGCCAAGTGATTCAACGATTCCTCGGCAAATGTTATGATAGATGGGTGTCTTTGGTTACTTCTAAAGTCCTTCCAAGTTATTACCATTCACACACCAAAAAAGGGTACCGAATCTTTTGTAAGTTTTCCAAAGTCTGGATGTCAGAGTGACAGAGAGCTCAGTGCTCTGACTTCTGCTCCATGGGTACTCACTCCTTGAGTGAGCTCATGCAGGCCAGTGCCTTGAAATTTCTTTCATCTGCATCTGATTTCCAAATTAAACCCTCCAGTCCCAACTTCTAACAAACGACAGACCTGCCACAGAACTGTCCATTTGGATGCTGAGTGGGCATTTCCAATGTGTTCTATAAAATGCTTTGATTCTCCCCATCTCCAGATCTGTTCCTTTCCCTGCCCATAAAATAATCCCAGCTTTTCAAGTCAAAGCCCTGGGCATCATCCTGAACTTGTTTAATTCTTTCACATCACATCTGATCCAGCAGCAAAACTACAAGATCCAACCTCAACATAAATCACCTGTCATGGTCTCCACCCTACCAGGCTATTCAAGCCCACATCCTTCCTCTCCAGAAAACCAGTTTTCTTCTAACTGGTCATCCTTTTTACTCAGCACCATGCTCTACACAGCAGCCAGAGTAAACCTCTTGAAATCAAATCCAGTGATATTCCACTTTTCAAAATATCTGAAAGCTTTCCAACATACCTAGGATAAAATCCAAAGTACTTAGGACTGAAGTCCAGCTTACGTAGACTTTCACTACTTCTCCCAACTCATTTCCAGCCACTTTCCTCCTGGGTCACTCTATCTTGCTGTCATTGAGTGAACTTGGCATACACACTCCTATATCAAGGCCTTTGCACTTGATGATCCTTCTGCCTGGAATGGGGCTTCCCAACCCATTATGTGCATGGGGCCTGCTCACCATGCATGTGAGATACCTCTACAGAGGGGCTTCACTGGCCACATATCGAGCACAGCATGCTGCCATATCTTCATCATCTTTATTCCTGCTTTCTTTGTCCTTCTAGAACTTTTATGACATATTTATTTGTTCACTTGTTTATTTATCTCACTCATAATGTGTGGGTTTCATAAAACAGGACTTGTCTGCGTTTTTCTATCACTGCATATCCCAATGCCTCAAAAACTACCTGCTCTTAGAATGAATGAATGTACTCAAGGAGAGAGGTATACAAACTTTTATTGCATACTTTCAGGTATGATTAAAACTGACATAAATATGCATCAACAGAATAATGGAAAAAAAAGGTATAAGTTATACATTCAATATGGACTACTGAAAAATAAATGAAACATATGTCAGCTGGATAAGTCCTAAGAAAACATATAGGAAAAATAGCAACTTTCAAATGCTTCAAAAAGACTAGGGTGGCCCTTTTATAAATTCAAAGACATTGAAATGATCTATTGTTCCAATAAAGGCATATGTGAATAAATGCATAAGTGAAACTGAAAAACTGTGGGGAATGTTAAACACAAAAGCTAGAGGGAAGTGGTTATCTATATACCAGCAGAAAGATAGAATTAGCTGGAACTGATGTAGGGCACTAGGGCACTGCAGTGCCATTTGTAATTATGTATTCATTTTTAAAATGTAAAGCAATGAAACAAAATGTTAATATGTGACGAATCTGTAGTGTAGGTCTATGTCAGTTTATTATGTTATCTGTACTTTCCTTGAACTTGAAATCAGTTCATAACTTGCAAATGCTTAAATTAAAAAAAAGCAAAGAGCCTAGGCTGTCAGTAGTTGATAGGTAGAAGATGCTTAAATATAATGCCCTGTCCTGCAACTACCATTTGCTCCCAGCCCTCTGTCAAAAAAAAAAGTGCAATTGAAATGAACAAGGGCTCTTGGGGCCACATTTCAATGACCCCAGCATATTTTTTCACCAGCCTCACCCCCTACCTTTTTAAATAAAATAGAAAAATAAAATTGTTTAAATTTGGAGGACACCATATCCAGGAAAAAGTCCCTTTTCCAATTCAGTGGGAAAAGTACTGACTTATAATTAATATTATTTCCATCTTTTTAAATAATGCCTCTTATATGTATTCTCAATTGGTTCTGGAAAGAAATGGGACCAGTATTTTTTCCCCACTTGGAAGAAGAGGAAGCTGAGACCAAGGGAGTGACAGAAGTAGAGCTAGAGAAAGTCCCCTGACCCCTTGTAACCATCGCTTATAGCACTGTGTTTTTTAATCTGGAGGAACATGTACTTCCATTATCTTGGATATAAAAAAAAATGCCACCTCTTTGTTGAATGCCTGTGTTATTTATAATTTGCCATTCTATGACTTTGTTCAAGTTCTGTAAGATGAAGTTTCTTAGGAAGGTAATATGAAGAAGTTTTTACTCTTGCTGTACAAGCCAACTTGCCTTTCCTGGATAAAGTGAGATGCACATCTTCAGAGCTACAGGTGCTATTAAGATATTCTTTTTCCCCTAGGACTCATATCAAGTGATGGGTTTTGCAGATATCTGATGTCAGATGAAAATGCCCCAGTCTTCCTAGATCGTTTAGAGCTTTACCAAGAAATGGACCATCCTCTGGCTCACTACTTCATCAGTTCTTCCCATAACACCTATCTCACTGGCCGACAGTTTGGTGGGAAGTCTTCAGTAGAAATGTACAGACAAGTTCTCCTGGCTGGTTGCAGGTCAGAAACTCAGAGATGGCCATTTGGGACATGTGGGGTAGGGGGGTTATACAATGCTCTTCAATGTATAGTTGTCCCCCCTTATTCACAGGGGTATATTCCAATACCTCCAATAGATGCTTGAAATCATGTATAGTATCTAACCCTATATACTATTTCTTGCTATATATACATACATATGATAAAGTTTTACTTACAAATGAAGTACAATAAGAGATTAATGACAATAACAATAATAAAATAGAATAATTATTAAAAATGTACTGTAATAAATTCCTTGTGCTTTGGGGGCTTTACTGAGTACAATAAGCCTTACTTGAGCACAGTGAGATAATCTGACAGATAACTAAGAAGGCTATTAAGTGGTTACTGGGTGGGTAGTGTATACCTTGTGGATACACTGGGCCATGGAATGATTCACACTGGAGGCTGGACATTGGGGTAGCAAGAAATTTAATTGTCCTACTCAGAATTAAAATCTTCTGAAATGTTTATTTCTGGTATTTTCCAATTAATATTTCCTGACCTCTGCTGATCATGGATAAATAAACTAGGAGTAAGGGAGGACTACGGTAGTTTATTTTTTTCTGAAATAAGAAGTTGTAATCAGAGTGAAAACAACATTTGTCGTTCTTTTTAATGGATTATGATGGCCATTTAACCTTGAGAAAGAAAGGACAATATTACTTCCATAAAGGTCTAGCCTTGTTCTATGACACAAAAGATAGTATTTTACATTAAATAGGCCCCCCAAAATGGCAAAAAACCTTCACACCTTTTAGAAGTCATGGTTTTTACTAGTTATAGGTACTTGCAAATTTAATGTTCAAGGCTCAGAAATTTCATTCTCTAAGAAGAGATTCCTAAAAATATTTTTTTACAGTTGTACTCAAATATTTGAGATTTTAAAATGGCCAGAATGTTGAAAGTGAAAAATAAAAAAGAAGGTGCACTATGACTTTTTTCTTGGTTACCAATTAAGCAAAACTTAATTTTTTTTATCACACAATTTTTGTATGTGGAAATACTTTTAAAAGAAATTAACCACATCCCTACTTCTATTCACATACTTCCTCTGAATACTTGAGTTCTTTGTTTTGTTTTGTTTGTGGTGCTAGGGATCAAACCCAGAACACCATGTGCATGTGAGGCAAGTACTCTACCAACTGAGCTACATCCCCAGCCTGAATACTTGAGTATTAATCACTGAAAAAAAAAAAAAGAAAAAAGAAAGAAAGAAAAGAAATTCTTATATAGTGAACATAACATGATCCCACTTAATACAATTAAAAATAATTTAATGTCAACTGGACATGGTGGCACATACCTGTGATTCCAGTGGCTCAGGAGGCTGAGGCAGGAGGATTGCAAATTCCAAAGCCAACCTCAGCAACTTGGTGAAATCCTAATTAAGCAAATTATGGAGAACCTGTATCAAAATAAAATATAAAAACAGTTGCGGGTGTAGCTCAGTGGTAAAGCACCCCTGGGTTCTAACCCCAATACCAAAATAATAATAATAATTTATTGTTATCTAAATCCAGCCTACATTCAAATTCCCCCAGTTATCCTCTCATTGTTCCTTATTGAATTCATACAGAACTGTACTACTTGTCTCCTCTAAGTCTCTTAATCTGACTCAGCCCTTTTTGATGATACCAAACTGATGAGAAGAATAATGTGTTTTTGGCTGTACATGTCATGAAATAGCCATGTTGCATAATTCATCTGATTTCCTGCTGTCTAAGGAAACAACTTATTTTGATGCCTCTCTTTGAGTTTGTATACACACTCTTCTATTGTAAGAATTCCATGTTGTCATTTTTGCTGTGTTCCTAGGTGTGTTGAACTTGACTGTTGGGATGGAAAAGGTGAAGATCAAGAACCAATAATAACTCATGGGAAAGCAATGTGTACAGATATACTTTTTAAGGTATGTTTTAAAATTACATAGCCACAAATTCTTTCAAACTGTTATGCAGGAAATAGGGAGGTGGAAAATAATGTTTTCATTTTCTCAAGCATTATGCCTTCATATTTCTTTCTTCCAGGTTTGAGGGGAGATGCACGACAAATGTTATCTCCACTTAATGTCTTCTTGTATGATTTTTCCTGCTTTCAAATGGCAACGATTGCATAATGAGGTTTCTCCAGAAGTCTCCTAGTTTACTCACCTAAAAACTTCATAGTCTTATCTACTTATTTGTTTGCTTTATTTGCATTTTCTTGAAGGACTTAAAGGCAGCATAAAAAATAAATATAGGAAAAAAGTAGATTATAGACAGATAGGACCTGTAAGAATAAAAGAATGAGGTTAGAGTTTATAGATGCTTGTCAAGAAATCATAATCTTGCACAAACACATGATTTACAGGATCCATAAATGAAAAGCACAATTATTATCAGAACTGACACCAATGAAAAATTTGCTATCCTTATAAATGGGCATCTCAGTAATGGTGATGTCCATGTGTGATTTGAAGAGTGGTTTCTTAGAGCTGCTCAATATGCCACTGGTAGCCTGCCAAAAGATAAGTCAAACAAAGAAATTCTGTGATTGCCAATATGTCAGATCCACCTATGTTCTTTTGATGTTGCATAGGATGGATATTTCAATACTTGGAACAACTGGTTCTCAATTCCACATGTGAAAAATCACCAGAGATGTTTTAAGAAACCCAGACACCTAGGTCCTATACCTGTAACACACCATGAATATCATTTCTCTTAGCCACAAAGTTGATAGGTTTTGATGAGCAGTCGCTCAAGATTATGCTTCCTGGGAAGAGCCAAGAAATATGCAAGTGGGAAGCTGTGAATTTGCACAGCCAGCCAAATTGATAGGGAAGGCTATGAACTCTCCTTAGAGAATTAAGGAGCCTAATAAGGAAGCATAGGTGAAAAACAGGCCATTCCCTCTCAGCTTGGACTGAGCAAAGTACCATTAGAGTTTTCCTTAAAACATAATTCTTGGTCAAGTGGATAGTTAAGGACATGAACACTTTTACCTGGGGAGAAATTTTAAGCAAGAATAACTAAATGGCCAGGTGCAATGCTGCACACCTACAATCTCAGTGGCTTGAAAAGCTGATGCATGAGGATGACAAGTTCAAAGCCATCCTCAGCAACTTATCGAGGCCCTAAGCAATTTAGTGAGACTTGGTCTCAAAATAAAAAAATTTATAAAGGGCTGGGGGTGTTGCTCCGAGGTTAAGCATCCTTGGGTTCAAAAAAAAAAAAAAAGAAGAAGAAGAAGAATTAAATGACCAACTCAACCATAAGGATGTTTACATAAAATATTCTAAGCTTACCTGACCTTGAGCATTATCAAATGTCGTCAAATGGACTTCCCTGGATAACTATGGTAAAATATTTTCCCGATTCATTGAGTGAAGTGCTTGCCCTGTGGTTAGCTACCAATCATTAAATAAATGCTTCGGTTGCAGAAGTATTGCTTTTATACCTGTATTTCTAAAGCAAAGTAGAGACTTGGGCTCACTATCTTATGAGGCCTCTCCATTTTCATAGAGATAGTGGGAGGGGGATACATTCGACTCATTCAAGTACGAGGGAGATCCTGAGCACACCCTGTTTTACCTGGCATGGTGCTTGACCAAAGAGAATCCTTCCTCTGAAACTCTTCCCCATATTAACCAGGCCAATATGAAACAACGAATATTGCAAATGTTACATCTATATTGAATTAATGAAATGTAGCCCAAGACTGATCCCCAAACACAGAGGAGTCAATAGAATTTTCTAGCAGTCCTAAAGGTATTACCAACACATTTCTCCAGAGGTGGAAAGAGTTAAAGAGGGATCTCTTGGAAAAATCCCTGTGCCAAAGCTTAGCTTCTCCTCAGGGAAAATGTTGAATACTGAGCCCCTGGCTTGGAAGATCATCAGGTAAGTAACAAGGAGATCACTTAAATAAAATCTCTTGTAAGTTGACAGTACCATCATTCTGGAGGTATAAAAGATAGCTTTGGGTAAACAAATGTCGTTAACCATTAACTGCACACTTGGTCTATCGAACTATTAGAGGTATCAAGGTGGATGGGTTCTCCAGGTCTGAGTGGCTGCAATTGACTTTCAGCAAGAAAGTCTCAATTAATGAACTGAATAGTTTGAGGTGCCTTGAATTTTTCTGTTCTTTTCTCTCATTAACCACTTTTTATTTTTAAAGGATGTAATTCAAGCCATCAAGGAAACTGCATTTGTCACATCCGAATATCCTGTAATTCTCTCCTTTGAAAACCACTGCAGGTATATTGATTCATTTTACTCCAAGGCACTAAAGATGTTGTTTCCTAACTCCTACTCCTCATCCTCACCTTAGCAGTACATCTTTTTAAAAAACTGTGTAGTTTGTTTTTGAATTGCTAAGTGCCAACTGATCTTCCAGTAAGTATGGAGAATCTTGCAAACCCCATCTCTCCAAAAAAAGTCATCTTCACCTGGTTTAGAAAACGCTTGCTCTAAACAAAAGGTCAAAGATTGGACACCTTGCTTCAAGTTTCATTGAAGTTGGAAGATTTGAATATAACTTAACAAACATTGTTGCATTCTTAGCGGTTTTAGTTTGGGGGTGACTTCATTTTTAACTGAATCAGTTAAAGTTTGGTATTTGAAAGTATATCTCATTCACATTGTGAGGATAATCATGCATTTTGCAGATGAGATTCTTTAATTGCCTAGAATGGTGTTTTCTTAAACTTGGAAGGTTAATGGATGTTTGAATTTACAAATGCCACTTCTTTCTCTCCAGCAAATATCAACAGTACAAGATGTCCAAATATTGTGAAGATCTATTTGGGGATCTCCTGTTGAAACAAGCACTTGAATCACATCCAGTATGTATTTTTAGAAAACCATATTTCTAGCATGAATGAATTTGTTTTGAAATTCATTTTTGAAGGGTCAAGTAGCACTGAAGGACTGATGCTAAAGATCTTCATATTTATTTAAATTCTTCAGTACAAAACACGTTTTTATCATGCTTTGAAAGGATGAATTTAATTTGGAAGAGATTGGGGTCTCGTGGTTTAAATTTCAGCACCCAGGCCAAGAGTCTAGATTCTGTATTTATTCTCAATATTAGTTAGATGTTAGAATTATCTCGGGGAACTGTGAAAAACACCCATGACAGGGCTGCACCCACAGATTGATTTAATGGACCCAGAGTCTGCCACCAGCATAGTGCTTTTTAAAAGTCCTCCAGGTGAGTAAATGTTTGCCTGCTATTCAGAAGCCATGGAAGCCTCTTGTTATGGAAAATGCTCTAGATTGATGTCACAGTATCCTGAAGTGCAAGTTCCCAACTCCAAAACAAAGTCTTGGTTAAACTGATATGTACATTTGAAAAATATTTATCCTAATTAATAATACATGACAGTAGAATGCACTTTGACACATCATACATAAGTGGGATATAATTTCTTATTCTTTTGGTTGTACATGATGGAGACTCCCACTGGTAATGTAGTATAATGTAATCTAATAGTAGTCTAATTGGATTACCCTAATGTACATAGGGTAATAATATGGACATTTTGGAACTTCAGTCTACACCTGCTAGTTTCTTTATAACATAAAGAATATTAGTCTGTGGTCCATAAATTCCTGAAGCCTTTGATTTCATTCTAATTGCATGTAAGTTTTAAATATGTGATCATTCCAGGGGGTTCTTTATATTTTTATAAGGAGCTATAACCTCCAAGAGGTTAAGACTCACTGTCCAAAGAGGTTGTGGGTAGCAAGACAGTTAATGCAATTAAAGTACAAAACTCTTTATGATGGTGGGATATTTGACATGCCTATTGGGAAGCCAACTCCAGGGGGCCCACACATGGTAGCATGAGGTGGCAGAAGAGGAGCATGACAGTAACAGAAGAGAAGGGTGCTTTGTGTTACATGCGAATAATTTGGGTGGTTTTATGAGATTTTGGGGGGTTTTGTTTGTTTGTTTGTTTTGTCTTGTTTTGTTTTTTCTGGAAGTGTGTCTGAGAGAACTGAAAAGATATGGAGACAAGGATATTTGTGTCCTTTGCTTCCTCCATCTGATTCTGTTCAGCCTATCGAAGCAGGTGCCTGCCCATGGCCTCAAAGCACTTCCTGTTTCTCTGCCCACTGGCGTGACTCAATCTGCCAGCACCCACAACTCCATGCCTGTGTCCTCTGCTCCCTAGAGCCTGCTCTGTCCACAATAAAGGACCAGCCAGAAGTGTCAGAGAATTAACACTCCCACTTCATGCTCTATCACTCCCGAGGTGGGCTGATTCTGAGCACCTGTTCTCCTCTTGTCTCCCAGGGGATTGATAGCAGAACTGCTGTCGCTGAGCTACATCCCCAGAACTTCTTATTTTTCTAACTTTTTTTTTAAATAGGGTCTTGCTAAGTTGCTTAGGCTAGCCTCGAACTTGTGATCCTCCTTCATCAGCCTCCCTAGTAGATGGGATTACAGGTGTATACCACCAAACATGCATATTTTATTATTTTTTTAACCTGAACCCTCCACTTACTTTTCTGATTAGAGTAAAGTGCTTATTTTTTGTGAAAAGTCCACTATATTTGTAATGAAATGATGTTTACATGCATGAATGTGGTTATGGAAATCATAGGTAGTATACATGGGAATAAGACCAACTGTCTGATCTGAAGGGATTTTAGTCTAGAGGGCTGGGGTTTGGGTGGAAACAGGACACAAAAGTAAACACACAACTGAGAAAGAAGACAGACAATTATGCATTGAAATATTTGTTGGAGAAGTCCTGGCACAAGAGAGACCCCTGGGGAATGGACCAGTTCCACTTGGCTGCCTGTAGGAAGCAGCATTTCAGCCAAAGGTCTCACTTAAGGCAAGACAGACAGAAAATACAGTGTCTTGCTTGTCATCTGTGGAATATAAATGAGTTTGGGAAATGACTAGACACTTGGAAGTAAAGATGGACAGATAAGGGTATTGATTGGTAGGTACAGAACAGATGTCTATATGTGGGACAGTTCCATGAAAATAATAACCTAAAGGGACACACTATTTCCAGACTTAAATGAAAGTAAATAAAGTCACAGTAGAGTTCAGATTCCAATAATTAGGACCATTCCCTTCTTGATTCCCTTGTTGAACCCACAAAACTCAATCCCATGTATTGAGTCGGAACAGCTACTAAGCAGACAGACTTGCTGAACAGTCCAGCTCTTGGGAGCTCTAGGGAACCTCTCACCTGGGAGAGCCAATCCCAGCCCCAGTGTGACCCACTGTACTTTATCAGAGACCTAAAGGGTGCAAGGCCTGAAGTGGAGGAGGACCCTCACCTGCAACACCACCCAGGCCGGACTCCAGCTCTACTGAGGAAGTTGGAGGAGCTCTGCACATCTCTGCAGACTGAGGATTCCAAGTTTGCAGCATTTTTCTAAGGCCAAGTTGGATGGGGTGGGCCAATTTGGTTGTCAACATGTGAAAAGGTGCTGACTGCCATCTAGTGGATGTTGGGTGGTATGACTCCAGACCTCCCATGCTCCAAAGCTGGAGTAGAAAAACACAACCATTGCTAATTTCAGCTCTTTCTGTGTCTCTCTAGCTCGAACCAGGAAGACCTCTGCCATCCCCCAATGACCTCAAAAGAAAAATACTCATCAAAAATAAGCGCCTAAAACCTGAAGTTGAAAAGAGTAAGTCAAATATGCACACAAATAGAAGCATGTGTTTGGACAGTACAGCTGTCTAACATGAAATTCATTGTAAAACCATCAAATTTGGGGGACAGAGGTGTAACGATGATGTTACATATACTTTCTGTAGCAAAATTATCAGTTTCATTTGATTTCAGTTTGTACATAGACTCATTCATACAGTAGAAAAAGTACATTCATACATGCACATGCCAGAATTTGCAAGTGTCCTAAGGAAAAAAAGTGAGAAGCAAAAGGAAAATTTTGTATTACAATGTATCTTGTTATGCTTTCTTTAAGAAAAGTTGTACTTTCTCCACTAATGTACAAGACTATTTCCCAGTAGTATCCTTAATGCTGACTATTGGCCATTTTATATGTGTTCCTAACTAATTGAAGAAAAATACCTGAATAGTTCATTTGTATCTTTTGATAACTAGTTCCTTTGTATATTATAATTTGTGATTTGTCCATGCATGTTTTCCCATTTTTTTAAAAAGTAATTTCATTTGTCTAGCTTAATTACTTACAAGAACTTTTTTACTTAGGATAATAACCCCAGTTATATTAGTTGAATATCTTTTATCCTAAAGTTTTGTTCTCTCTACTGTGCATATCTCTTTTCTATCACTTCACCATCATTGTTTGTAAAACTTGGTCTGTGCCAGATTCTCAAAATTAATGGGTGTTTGTTTTCTGGGTTTAAATCCTGAATCCTCCTTTCAAATGTAGAAAACAGAATTTTGGACAGTTCACCATGTTCTAGTGGCAGCCCTTCTTCATGTGTATACAGTGTGTTTGATGCACAATTCTTACAAAAAAATAAGACCAGCAGGAATGGGGAAGACAATGACCACTGCTAAACCTTAGGGCATGGTCAAGAGGTGCCAAAACAACATACTTCCTTTCCTTCATCTCCATATCTGACATAAAGGCCAAGTTTTGTAAGTGATCTAACATCTGTCACCATCTCCTTGTTTCTTCATAATAACAGAACAGCTTGAAGCTTTGAAAAGCATGATGGAAGCTGGGGAGTCTGCAGCTCCAGCTAGCATCTTAGAGGATGATAATGAAGAGGAAATAGAAAGTGGTGAGTTGCTATTTCAAGTGATATGTTACAATACTTTGTAACGTAGGTAAAACATGAGTTTCATTGGGTCCTTTATAATGGTTACATTATAGTTTTAATACTCAGGTGTGTATTTACAGATCAGCCTTCATCTTTCATTATTTTTGATCCTTTTTTTTTTTCAAATATTATTACTTCTAACTTACCTGGGCATTGGAAACTGGCTTAGTCATCTCCCTCCCTGTGTGTGTCCAGCTGTTCAGCAGAAATTCACAGCCAAAGATGATGGTGGTAATAGCCTGGGAATGTAGAATGAAAGAACTTCAGGTAAATCATTGGCTTGTGTTTAGAAAGTGAACAAGAAACTAAGAGACAACATTTAAAATTTCAAGTTCAGGCTGGGTTGTCGCTCAGCAGTAGAGCACCTGCTTAGCTTATGAGAGGCCCTGGGTTCTATACCCAGTACCAAAATAACATAAACAAACAAAATCCAAGTTTAAATGCCTTCAAATAATCTACTGCTCAGAATTATCTATATAAGTAGATAATTTTACCAAAGGCATCTTAGCCACAAATATTTGATTATTTTTAATTGTTTATTTTGTTTTTGCCATATATCCACAACCATAATGTTTCATTTAAAATTGGGATTGGCAGTACAAGGTGGCTTATACTTATAATTTCAGTTACTCAGGAGGCTAAGGGAGGAGGTTTGCAAGTTCAAGGCCAGACTCAGCTAGTTTGTGAAACTAAATAATTTAGAAATACAATAATTCAGAAATTCCCATTGAAAAGTTTACTAAATAGAAACTAAAATTCCTAAAGGGAAAGTCTTAACTTATTATCTTAACACTTAAAATATGATTTTAGGAAAATTGGTAAAAAAAAAAAAATGTTAAAAACAGTAAGCTGTGAGAATTAACTTATCTTATTCACGACCCCTTAATAAAGACTCCTGACTGTAGAACCAATGTCATATGTTTATGTTGTATCAGGGAGGATTAGGGAGGCCAAAGATATCTGATTATCCAATTTATGCCTTCAGTAGCTATTTATCTATTACTGTGTAATAATCCACCCCAGACTTGGAGGCTTTATAATTATCTCTTATGGTTTTGTGGGTCACCTGGGCTTGTGTTGCTGGTTCTCCCTTGGGCTTCTCATGCAGTTACTGGCAGATGACATATGGGGCTGAAAGTTTGGTTGCACTGGTTATCCAAGGTGACTCTCTCACATGGCTGGCAGCAAATGCTGGCTCTCGGCTGGGAAGATAACTGGAATCAGTGAGAAGAGCACACATTCGGGATCTCTGGGATTTGGGCTTCTCACAGCACAGTGGCTAAGTGCCTATTTAGAGTATCCAAGAGCCTGTGTCCCAAGAAGTAGGAGCTGCCGAATTCTTTAACAGTTATGCCTAGAATTGGTGCAGCCTCACTTCCTCTCTATGTTATTATTCATCAAAGAAGTCTTAGCACTGCCCAAATTCAAGAAGGCAGATGAGTGACAAGATCTTTTTGTGGAAGAACACATTAAGGGCAGCTCTCAATGTAGCTGTTTTGGGAAAATTCAGTAGTCAATGGTATTATATTCTGTTATATCATATATCTATTATATTATTTTGTATATAATAAATATGTAAAATATATAAAAATATAAAAATATAATATTTAGTATAAATTTTATAAGTAAAATATAATAAATAAATAAACCTAAACTACATTTAAGGACAAAGTATCATACATATATGTATATATTTTAATAGATCAGCAAAATACTTCAAAAATGCAGAAAAAAAAAGGTAAATATTAAGCAAAATCAGTTCCATGATTTAGGTTAAAATTTTAAAGATGGGAACTGAAGACATGTAAGACATTGCCAATACTATAATCTAGTAAAACAAACTGCAGAAATAATGGAATAAATGAAGAAGAAATATAGATTAATAATAATAGCTACTAGCATTGTAGTACCAACTGGGCACCAGGCAGCCTTCATTACTGCTTTATATAACCTTCATCATCTAGCCCAATGAAATAGGTATGATGAAACTCCTTTTTTTTTTTTTTTTTTTTTGTGTGTGTGTGTGTGTGTGTGGTACCATGGATTGAACCCAGGTTCAATTACCCACTGAGCCACATCTCCAGCCCTTTTTTGCATTTTATTTAGAGACAGTCCCTCACTAAGTTGCTGAGGCTGGCTTTGAACTCATGATCCTCTTGCCTCAACCTCCTGAGCTTCTAGGATTATGGGCATGCTCCACGACGCCTTGTCACTTACCGTTCTGAAAGACACTTTCTTCCTTCTTGGCACATATGCTAATGATTCTTCGAGGCACACAGCTTCTAGTAACTACCATCTTATTCCAAAATTGAGATTCTAATTTTATTTTGTATATAAATAACTCCATGGCATAGTACAGCAGTAAAATAAATACCTGCAAAGATATAATCATCCACTGAATTTCATTTTAGGGGCACAGAGGTCCTTCTGACTTAGTAATGTATACAATTCTTAGATTTCCTCAACTACTTGGCCGTAGTTCTGGTCAACCAGTTGGCTTCAATTGCCTTGGTGTCAACAAACGATCCAACTATATATAGGTTACTAGAGCCTCTAATTTAGATACATTGGCATAGAGGGCAGAAGGAAATCAGCATGGTTCAAGAGGGCAGTCCTGCCTAGAGGTTGTGGAAAATAGAAAAGACTCTCAGTGAAAGAACTGCCTAACCATTAGACTAAGTTTAGACTCAGAAGAGCCTCCGACTCCTGGCCCTAGGAGACAAGCAGTGGGGAATACCAAAATCACATATGTTGTGGTGTGTTTGTGCGCTCATGCACCTTCAGAAATGATACTGTGCATCTGTGTACTCTTATTATAAGTACTATTATTATAAGTACTAATTATTAAATGTCTACCACTTGTATGGGACTCACTCCTTGTCTTCAGGTAGTTACATCTGGCTGGGCTGGTTAGATGAAACACACAGATTGAGTATTCTTTATACAAAGCACTTGAGAATTGAAGTGTTTCAGTTTGGGGAGTTTTTTCAGATTTTGAAATATTCACGTAGACTTTTTTACCAGCTGAATACCCCTAATTAAAACAAAATGAAGATTCAAATTGCTTTGAAATCTGAAAAAAAAGTGTTGTCGTCATGATGCTCAAAAAGTTTTGGATTTTTGGAGCGTGTCAGGTTTCAGATTTTCAGTTCACAATTTGCAGAGTATATAGGTCATGAAAAATCTTTTGTCATGTTCTTCCCAAGATTTCAGGCAAGGTCTGACTGCTTTCCAGTAATTTGGGTTCATGAATTTTTCCTTTGTTTTTCACACAGCTGACCAAGAGGAGGAAGCTCACCCTGAGTTCAAATTTGGAAGTGAACTTTCTGCTGATGACTTGGGTCATAAGGAAGCTGTTGCAAATAGTGTCAAGAAGGTCAGAGTCTTCATGGCCCTTTTCTTTCACAATGTGGAGCTGTTATGAAATTTTGGAAATGTTTCAACTACAAGAGGATAAAGTAGCCTATCATTCCTTTTAATTGAACAAGATAGAATTTTCTGCTGGGTGACCCAGATTTCACACATACACAATATTAAGTTAAAAAGGACATTTAAATTACTTATTAGCCATGCCCAGTATTAACCACAATTTATTTAGCCAGTTTCCTTTAAATACTATCATTTATTATGTCATTTAAATATTATTGTTTTTATATTATATTGTAGGTGGGTAGAGAGACACCCACAGCGTCCCAGGTCACCTGTTAGAATCATCAGAAAATAACCCCTGAATATCCTTTCATCAGAGAACTACTAATTAATATTCCCCTCCTAATGTAGAGTGAGCATAAAAAATATTTCCAACCACTTATTCAATAAAAAAAAATTATTGAGTACCAATTATATTTTAGACACAGTCTAGGCTACCATCATCTAAAAGGGTCAAAACACATTTACTTTCTACCCTTCGGTAGCTTGTCGTCTCCTACAGTTTAGAGACATAGTTGGAAATAGACTGTGAACAGATAAATAATTATGCAGTTCAATTTTTCATAAGTGCTATTGTGAAAATAAAAGCAAGTGCTAAATTGGAGACTAATGAGAATAACAAGGTGGCGGGAATAAGAAAACCGGAATCCAAAGGAGAAGGAAGAATTTATCATACACAGAAAGAAGAATAACTTTCCACATAGAGGGGACACTACAATAGTAACCCCCAAAATGGATTGAAGGAGCAGCAGAGTGGATCAAGATGAGATGAGGTGGATAGCCAGCAACTAGATGATGCAGGACTTCAGAGGCTACCATGATAAATTCAAATTTAAAGTGAAATATGTAGCCATTGAAAAAGCAGGAGTCCTTGTAGTCAGATACGAGTTTTAGAAGATCGTGCTTCTTGCCATATTGAGACTAGTTTAGAAGGAAACAAGAGTGGAAGCAAGAAAAATAGTCAGGGTAGTAAGAGCCCCTAATGGTGAAACTGGACAGAATGGTTTCAAGATGTATTAAGGAACCAAAACGATACAAATCACTGATGGATTGAATGTTGTGAGTGAGGGAGAGAGAAGAAGGTGACCTTCTGGAGTACTTTTTTGAGGAACTGGGTAGACTGGAGGAGGGAAGACTGGAAAAGAACGAATTCAGGAGTTCCAAATGGGACGGGTGATCTACAATGCCTGTGAGATAGATACTCAAGGAAAGGTGTCAGGCATTGACATTTATCTCTCAGGTTCATTTCATTAGTTGCTGCTACTCTCTTATTTTCATCTTTTTTCTCATTATCGTCATCACTAGCATCATCATAAGCTAAATCCAGAAGAGAGGTTGAGCTGGGAGTTCAACAGGTCATAGTTGATCCATGGAAATAACTGAGATGATCCATGGGGTTGGTGGAAAAGAAGGCCCAAGTAGAAAACTAGGTAAAAATGGGTTCACAAGAGAGGAGCTAGGAAAGAAGAAGATATGGCCCATGAAAACTAGGAGAGCACTATTAACCTAGTGGTTGACTGTGGAATTCTGTAGAGTTTCTGAGTAACAAGTCTCAAGAGTGTCCATTGGATTGGTAGCATGGAGGTCACTGGTGAACTTGAAGTGTCAATGGAATGCTGGCGGGAGAAGGGTACTGGAACAGAGAAGGGATAGTAACTGTGCTTTTGAGAAGTTTTGCTGTGAACGGGGGCAGGAAAAGGGCTGGTAGCTAAAGGTAACCTGAGGAGTCAAGGGAGTGTTATTTGTAGGGTGAAGAAATCTGGAGCTTTCTTGCACGCAGCCAAGGATGATACATCAGAGAGGGAGAGATTAATCTTCCAGGAGAATAAGGGAGAATGCTTGGGAATTCCTTGAGAAGACCAGCACTGACAGGATGATGGTGATATGAAAGTGTGATCTTGATGGGAGCAAAGATACTTTCTCTGTGGCTACAATGGACAAAGATGCAGGTGGATGGATTTGGTGGCAGGAAGAGGAGAGTGTAATGATGAACAAAGTCAAAGAAGCATTGCCATTGGACTCTCCCTTTTCTGATCTATGAAGTACATTGAGATTGCTGTATATCTACTAAGGCTTAAAGAGTATTGTTGTACTACATGAAGTCATGAAGTCATCAATTCTCTCTTAGCCAGTTTGTGCTGTCATAACCAAAGTATCATTGACTGGTTGACTTAAACAACAGAAATTTATTTATTTCTCAAACTTTTGGAGACTACAAAGTTCAAGATTCAAGTGTGTTGGCCAGTCAGTCCTTGGTGAGAGCCCAGTAATGTCTGCACATAGTAGAGAATGAGAAAGCAAGCTCTCTCTCATCTCTTCTTCTAAGGGCACTAATCTAATCATGAGGCTCTCTGCTTATGATCAGAATACCTCCCAGAGTCTCCATCTCCAAATACAGGCGCTCCTTGACTTATAAAGTGATTTCGATAAACTCATTGTGAGGTTAAAATCTCATAGGCTAAAAATGCATTGAATACACTTCACCTATGGAACATCATAGCTTAGCAGCATGGTACACTGTATATTGCTGGTTGTTTACCCCTGGGATCATGTGACTGAGTAGGAGCTCTGGTTTACTGCTGCCACCCAGCTTCCCAGAAGAGCATCATACCAAGAATTCAATCAAAACTGAAGCACATTTTTGCACCGTCATACACTCAAAAAATCCTGAGTTGAACCATCATTAAGTTAGGGACCATCTATACTATCACATTGGGAATTATGGTTCCACCACATGAATTTGTTAGAGACACAAACATTGAGTCTATTGCAAATACAGAGACATGAATGCTGAGCTACTGAAGAGTGACCACTTATGCTGCCATTTATATGTCAGAGGACATAACCACATTGATTATTTTCATTTCCCAAGCCCCATGACTAAGTCACTAATGAACTTATTACAATAAAGCATCTAAATGAGTGAAAACCATCAACAAAGGAAGGAGATAGCATTAAGAATACAGCTCGTTTGAAATATAAAACCATGAGGTCATCACATCTGTGCAGTACCTTTTTTTCTTTCTTTTGGTCCATGGCTTTCCACTAATTTCCCATCTTAACAAATACATAGAATCATAAGTTCATATATATTTATTTAAATATTTACACAAATATAACTAATAAATTTGTAATTTTGCCCTTTAGGGAAGTAAACAAATCATTTTCTTTCTCTAATTTAGACTTCAGATGACCTTGAACATGAAAACAACAAAAAGGTAACAAAATAATTCTCTCGAGCATTTTTCCTTCATTAGGATACACGCATATGTGGCCCTCTAATATTGAACTTATTCTACTAAGGACTGTTGTTGTTACTCTGTCCACTCCCCTACCCCACACCCGTGGAATATCAAGCTTAGCATCTATAGGTATAATGCATCTAATATAAGAATTGGCAAAAGAAATAATTAATCACAATAATAAAATGATTAAAATCCTGATAAAAAGCCCTAAACTAAGTAAGATAATTTTCCTAAAAAATAGGCGTTTAATGCAATAAGATATTTCCTTAGTTGGAATTAGAAATTTTAGTCCTCGAAGGTGGTGCATAATCATCAGCATGTTGAGTATGAAAATAAAAATTATCTAATAGGTCATCAGATTCATATTGTAGAACAGTAGAAAAGTGATCTGAGCTCTCACAGCATCCATGTCATGGAAGATCCTTAGGTAGCTTCCACTGCATACCTTTTGGAGATTTCTTTTGATGTTAGTAGACATTAGCCTTATTGTAAGGAAGATAAAGTAACATTGTCATTTTCTTTTATCCTCTTCAAAGTTCATCATGATGATTGAAGTGTCTTGCTAAGTGTGTTTGGTCTATTATGCAGTAGTAAGACTGAAGACCATCTCAGGCAGAAATTTGCCTTCTATGTTGACTCTCACCTTTGGGAGCTGCAGACTGCTTTGCTATCTACAGGGTCCTATCTTATTTACAGTGAGACCCTACCTTCTCATTGTTTAAACAATTAATTTGAAAGAAGTATGGGTCAATCGAATCACAAATCTCCCCAAATGATTATGGGACAGAGTAAAATTTCATAAGATAGTAGAGTCAATGGTACAGAGTGGCTGTTTGGTTATTAACATTAATTTGCTAAATTAACTTAAATCCACAAGGCCTTGGTCTTCTCATGTGGTCATTGGTAGGACTATAACCCTCCTGACAAATAACAATATTAATGAGGATGTGCATGCTGGTGCCTAGCACATAGCACAGGAATTATTTGTAATCATTAAAGACACAAGAAGAAATAGATGTGGCCTCTGCCCTTTTATGGAGGTTTGGGGTCTGCAACTTATAAAAAAATCTATAAAAACAAAATTAAGTTGCATTATTTGATTATTTATCTTAGTCTATTATCAGTGAAATCAGTTTGATGATTTAGAACATTCAGATTGTTGTCATCAATAAGATAAACAAATGGTCTGACTCGTTTTTCACTCATGGGTTACATCGTGTGATTAAGCATCCTCCTAGATTCAATCTGTGCAGAAAGTTGAGCTTTTAAAAGTTGTTAACAAAATGTTGACCACTTAAACGTGGTCAAAGTGCATCAATGCCTTCTGCTATCATGTATAACTCATTAAAAAAAATGAAAAAGTTTAAAAAATAGATCAGCAATTAGGACTTTGGTCAAAATGGGGACAGAAGAAACTAATCTTCAATACAATGGAAAAAAGAACACAGACAATGTCACCAAGTTGTTAACAAAATGTTGACCACTTAAATGTACTTTTTGTTGTTGTTGTTGTTGTTGTTTTTAATTTTTTTTATTTAAGAGACCAGGCCTCACTATGTTTCCCAGGCTGGCCTTGGACTCCTAGGCTCAAGTGATCCTCCTGCCTCAGCCTCCTGAGTAGTGGGGGCAACAAGCATTATTTCTGTTGGTTTTGATAGTTATGTTCAGATTTCTCAAGGAGTAAATAAAATAATTTGCTTTCTTCCCCTCCAAAGTCATATAATTTCAATGTGTCCTATGTCACTTTATTAGGGTATTTTAAAAATACATCCTTTAAAAATAAATAAACCACCATGTATGTGGCTGAAATTGTAGAACAGTGCTACTATACCATGTGGTCCTCAGACCTTTCCCTCACCAGCACCTTATTTTAAAATTTTTAATAGTTTGAAATTATAAAATTGCAAGCCCCTGTGCCTCACCCAGACTCACTACAGCAGAAATTTTAAGGATAGAGGTCAGGAATCTGTGTTTCAACAAGTGCTCCAGGTGATTCTGTCACACACTAAAATTTAAGATTCACTGTTTTTGACTTCGTACCTCAGCTTAGGAAAATATGAATGATAATATTGCTGTACATACCTCACAGCATTTCTGTAAGACTCCAGTATCTTTTCTTGGATGTTTTAAAGTCCCTTGAAAATCTAACAACAACCCAAATACATAAAATAACTTAATATTTTCTGATTATCTCCTTTTGCATCATCTGGACTATCATGGAGATTAAGTTTTAAAATTATCTTTTAACATAATTGAGGTACAAACGTTATTTTGCTTCTGAATTTGTGTGTAAATTAGCTTTTTAATGTCTTTTTAAAAACCGCTTATCAATGATTATAATTACAGATTATACTGGGATTCGTTGCTTCATATTCCTACATGCACACAATATAATTTAATTTGATCAATTTCATTCCCCAGGACCTCCCCTTTTCCTTGCAAGTTATCTTTAGTAAGGAAATTTGCAGCCTGTGTCTGGGAGTCCCTCTGAAGCCATCAGCTAATCTGTTCTCTTCATTATGTTTGCAGGGCCTGGTTACTGTAGAGGATGAGCAGGCATGGATGGCATCTTATAAATATGTAGGTGCTACCACTAATATCCATCCCTATTTGTCCACCATGATCAATTATGCACAGCCAGTGAAGTTTCAAGGTTTCCATGTGGCTGAAGGTAACGTAAAAGTTAAAATGCAGTAGCCTTTTTTATCTGCTTATCTTTTTTTTTTCTATACCAATGAGTTCCAACCTAACTTGTGCTTTTTCCTCTTTTGGGGTGGGCATCTCTCTTACTTTTGTTTCACAGGCTAGATAGCCACAATCCTGGGCATGCCTTGGGATTGCATTGCCATTCTCTACATCAGCCACATGGTGGCTCTGAGAGACTATGGACTTGTCAGCCTCTAGTATTCCAAATGCTTTCACAAGACCGCTTTATTTTTTTCTTTAAAATAAATAATTAAATAAATGAAATATTAGTTTATCTTTGATTGACACAAAATATTTGTACATATTTATGAGATGCAATGTAAATTTTTTATTTATATGTACATTGGGTAGTGGTTACCAGTGTCTTTAGAGAATAGATGTGGGGGAGCTTAGGGAGGTTTGTCAATGGGCTAAAATATTATAGTTAGAGAAGAGGAATAAGTTCTAGTGTTCTCTGACACAAGACGTGTTTAGTCAAAAGCTTGTTTCCAAAAGCATAAGAACTAATTTAAAATTTTTATTATCTTTTGTGGGTAGCAAAAGGCATCATGACCTTCAAAAATACATATTTCAGAAATTGGGGTACACATACTTGGACTCCAGATATATTTCAGAACACTTATTTTTCTTAAGTAAGCTATCTCCATTTATAGGATATTAATGAATCTAAAAGCAACTGACATGATCATGTAACACTGGCTGCTAAAGCCTGGTGACTCTGGATGTAGCTATATTTATTGCCTGTTTTTCTGGGAGGGTTTGATGGCAGGGTTGCTGAGTGCATCTTTGCTTTTCTCTTACAGAACGCAACATTCATTATAACATGTCTTCTTTTAATGAATCAGTTGGCCTTGGCTACTTGAAGACACATGCGATTGAATTCGTGAAGTATCCTTGGGTGTTGAGTGGAGTGGGCAGTTGCACATTTGGTTGGGCAACAGTCTCTGAAATAAATCAATGGCTAATATATAAGTTTGATTGTAGAGGTAATAAAATAATATGTGTGAAAGAGCATGGCAGCTGTGACAATCTACCCAAATGAAAATTGTCCTCCAAGTCTGCAGAGTAAACTGTGGTCTCTTTCTCTCCCAAGCATCACTGGTAAATGGGAACTTTGTTCTGGGTTGCCTGTAGGTTGGGCATTATTGGCCTGCACCTCTATTGTTCCAGCTCTATGTTGTTTATTTACCTCAGCTGTGATACTCTTTTTTTTTTTCTGTTTTCCTTAATAAGTTACACAGTTACAACAAACGGCAAATGAGTCGCATTTACCCCAAGGGAGGCAGAGTCGATTCTAGTAATTACATGCCTCAGATATTCTGGAACGCTGGATGCCAGATGGTTTCACTGAACTATCAAACCCCAGGTAGGAGCTGATACCCAGTGACCCCCAAATTCCACGAGCACACTTTGACAGGGTGGTGTCGGGAGTTGCCATCGGTTGGCTGTGGGCATGTTTTCAGGGAAGGGAACATATGGCATAACAGTGTTTTCCTGGATTTATATAATGGTGAGAAATTCAAATCCCCAAATAGAACAAGAAGACAGTAAAAGACAATGTTTTGATTTATACTGCAATTCTTTTCATAATTGCCATGACTACTCTGCTAAACAGTATCCCCTATTCCTAAATATTTCTAATATTTCTTACTTTTGGATCAGACTTGTTATCTCTGTTTCCAGAGGCAGAAGAATTGAGAAGAATTTAAGTATTTTGGTACAGTAACTAAATCTCATTCCTCCTTTGGAAAGTTCCCTGGCTACCGCAAATATTCAACAAATTTCAAGGACACAGTGTCACCTCACCATAAAAGTACAGAATATTACATAGTAAAACTCCCCTTAAATGATATGTAAGGAGTTATATATTTTTAGAAGATCTAATCTATAAATTGGTCTTCCAAAGTATAATCAAATATGGGCTATATGTATATAATATGCTGATCCTTTTTTTCCTGGGATTAGAAGGAATAATTTTTTTAAAAAGTTTTCAAAGTTTGTGTAAAGAGCCTACGTTCACAAGATTAAGATGAGAGATGACAAAAGGGAATACATAGAAATATGTCACAAAACCCACTTACTTTATGTGGGTAATTCTCAGCATGGCTTTACAATTGTTAAAACAAAACACATATGTAAAATAGGACATAGTAATTCCACTGAAATGCTGAAATGTTAAACAAAAATATGAAGTTAGAATTTGGAAGGGAGAACTGGGGATGGAACCGAGGGGCACTGTACCACTGAGCTATAATCCCAGAGCATTTATTTTTTTTATTTTGAGACAAGGTCTCGCTTAGAATGGTCTCCAAGTTGCAATTCTCCCACCTCAGACTCCTGAGTTACTAGGATTAAGGTATGCACCACTGTGTGCAGCTGAAGTTAGAATTCTACAAAGATTTAAAAATACATTTTTTTTTCTTCTTCTTCTTCAGTCCTTTGCTATATGAGGATACCTTCCAAGTTTCCCATTTTGGGGAGCTTTTTCTTATCTAGTGTACTGACCCTATTTGAAAATCCCTATCTTCCTCATTTCTTATTATCTGGACTAACTAGAAGGTCCTTTGACTTTCATCTCTCTGGCTTGAGCCTGAGCTGACTATATTTCCCTCCTCTTGGGGGAGCCTCCTTTATGACCAGAAATTCCCCCTAGGGATTCCTCATTGTGCATGTGACCCCACAGTCCTTGCTAGATGAGACTATTACCAGGTACCAGTGTAATCCTGACTGTTTTTGTCCGGACAAAGCAAAATGACACTGCTGATTTACCTACTTAAGGAAGGGTCACGTTATGTTCTCCATTGTCAGTGAGTCCATAATAAGGATTACATGGACCTAAAGCATTTACGCACTCGGCCAGCTTGTATTTTATTCTTTAATATTAGGTTGTATGATAATATTTGGAAGAAGAAAAATCCAACCACTAACCTTTTTTTTTTTTCCTGATGAGAAAAAAAGAAAGCAAATGCTATCTGCCTGCAAGAGAAAAATCCTGAGCCATGCCCTGACAGGGTAGGCCCCACTAGAAGAATATTCCTGAAGTCTAATGCTGTGAGAAAGCCATCAATTTCATGTTATTCTTACTTGGCTTGTGTTGTATCTCAACTCAAGTTTTGGATATTTTTGTTTTGTTTTGTTGTTGTTTGGATTGAATCTGGGGGGGTGCTTAACCACTGAGCAACATCCCCATCCCTTTTTATTTTGTATTTCAAGAGACAAGGTCTCGCTAAGTTGCTGAAGGCTGGCTTTGAACTTGTGATCCTTCTGCCTCAACCTCCCCAGCCTAGGATTCCAGGCACATGTCACCATACACAGTTTAATTCAAGTTTTGTATTCATGCTGACCGTACTGGGTATCTCCAGCCTTGCCTTCCTCTGGGTGATAAGACTCATAGGTACTTCTAATGACAGCAGGTTAAACATCTCTAGTCTCAATATTAAATGAACAATTGTATAGCTTATGTATTGATTCCATTTCTAAAAGGAATTCTGGGATTATCTTTATGAAAAACATACTTTATGCTTAATTCACATTAAACACAAGGTCATTTGAAAAACATGGAAAAGAATTATGTGCCTTAATCCGAACCTGTGTTACCTCTGGAGCAGTCTGATTTCCATTGTTTAAAATCATCCTGTTAGGGTCTTGTTTATCCAGGGAGATGAAATGCTAAATTATTTTTGTCTCTCGACAGATTTAGCAATGCAATTGAACCAGGGGAAATTTGAGTATAATGGATCTTGCGGGTGAGTAATGTGATTTAAGATGTTGTCACCTAGTTTCAGGACTCCCTACTACCTCTTTAATGAATGCATGTCATTTTTAATTAGGGGCTGGTGAATGTAAGCTGATTTGAGGTATGGGATAGAAGTAAATTAAACCCTTATATGGATTATATTTGCAAATATACCTTCTTTATCTACCCCATTTTACTACGCAGGATTTTTTTATCTACAAGTTTTCAGAATCATACATACTCCAGAGCTTAATTACCTCACTATAAATTCAATAACAGAGGTTTTTATATCTGAGGCAAGTAATGATCCATGCTCATTTGAACAATACCCAGAGACATGAGCATTAAATATGTACTTTTACTGATGACAAATACAGAAATGAAGTTAATTCCATGTATAATGAAATCATAGGTGTCAGGTTAAATTTATTTCAATTGAGGATAAACCTTTGTCCTCTCTTGATTCTTTTGCATGTCTGCAAATAAGTAGTGGTTATTAAAGATTCGTGCTATGAATTTTGTTCCAGTTTACTTAAAAAGCAGTCTTTTAAAAATTTGTGAGCCAGGAAGTAAAATAGAAAATAGTAATTCCACTGGAATGCTGAAATGTTAAACAAAAATATGAAATTAGAATTTTGGGAGGAGTACTGGGGATGGGACCCAAGGGTGCTGTACCATTGATCTATAGTCCCGGACCATTTTATTTTTTTATTTTGAGACAAGGTCTCACTCAGACTGGTCTCAAGTTGCAGTCCTTCTACCTCAGACTTCTGAGTTGCTAGGATTGAGGCATGCATCACTGTGTGCAGCTGAAGTTAGAATTCTACAAAGATTTAAAAGCTTTGTGGCCATTTGTTTTCCTTGCATCTGTCCTTGAACAGTACTATAAAAAAATAATATCAGATCACAGCCCAAAGGCCTCAGGATTAATTCTGTGGAGTCCTGTCCCATTCCATAATGAGACTGTCAGACAATTAGTTTTTGACAGTGGCTCACCCTGTGAAATATCTTAATTTTCATTATTGAAAATAACCAGTCAAGATGCAAATTTTCTGCAGTTGTGGGTTAGGAAATGGCTCTTCAGAGTACACATGCCATACCTCTGCCTACCTGACAGATGGTTCGTTGCCAATATGCTCACGTGCTCAAATGACAGCCCAGTTATCTGAAACAATCACCACATACATTCCCAAGGGTGCATTACATTTTCCTCTGCTGTGTGCTTTGAAAAACATAAAAACCATAGTTAGGAAGGAAAGAGCCAAATGAATATTAACACATGGACATTGTAAGACTCTTGCTTAAACTGGATTCTATAAGGATGGAGAAGGAGACTCAAGATTGGCCAAGTCAGAAAGGACTCATTTTCTTTGAACACAGCATGTCCTCTATGGCATGTTATAACATCACTACAATAACATCAGACAGTGTTATTGTCTGATGTTCTTCATCATTATCTAAAAGGGCAAAAACATCCTCCTCCATCTTCAGGACCCTCTACCTAAAAACTGACCTCATAATTATAAATGAGGAAATAGAAGGATTAAGTGTTTCAAAAACCTTTTTTTTTTTTTTTTTTGTCTTTCTAAAGGTCTATGAGTACAATAAGCTTCCTCTGTTTTTTCTACCAGGTACCTGCTCAAACCAGATTTCATGAGGCGGCCTGACCGAACATTTGATCCCTTCTCTGAAACCCCTGTGGATGGGGTTATTGCAGCCACATGCTCGGTGCAGGTAACACCCCTGCTCATCAGATTGTATAAATGTATTTGCAAATGGTCCTGGACAGAACCCACTGGTAAAATATTTAATGTCAAGTTGCCAGATCCTTATGTCACTTATGTCAAAATCCACCCTCCTCCCTGCACCTTTTCCATAGAACACACATTTTTTTAACTAGTAAAATTATGAATTACTATCAAAAAATAACTACTACATGATGAAATTTTCTATAAAATTGTAGAAAATGTAAGCTATGGTGATAGAAAGTAAATCAGTGATTGCCTCTGGACACAGTGGAAGGAGAGAAAGATTATAATAGGGCTCCAAAAATCTTGGAGGTGATGGAAGTGCTTGATACCTTAATCACAGTGATAGTTTCACAGATATGCTTACTTGTCAATGTCAATATGTGCAATTTATGATAGGTCAGTTGTCCCTAAAAAAAAAAAAAAACCTTTCAAAATTATTAGCTACTAAATAATATGGAGGGGATATTAATAAAGGGCTATAGTTATTTGCTAAGTAAATGAAAAAACAGTCACTTCATAATTTTTTTAGTAGTTATAATTTTGCACTGGTCAAAGACAACCAATGTCAACATCAGTCATGAGGTCAAGAAAAATAGACCAATCCTGGTATTGTTTTCCTTTTGTTTCTGTGTGCCTTTCTCTCTCTCCCTCCCTCTCTCTCTCTTTACTGGGGGACACCAGAGATTGAATCTGGGGGTGCTTAATCACTGAGCCATATTACCAGTCCTCTTTTTAATTTTATTTTGAGAAAAGGTCTAAATTGCTGAAGGCCTTGCTTAATTACTGAGGCTGGCCTCCAACTTGTGATCCTCCTGCCTCAGCTTCCCAAGTCACTGGGATTACACCATGCCCAGCTTATGTCTCTCTTCAAGACTTTTGAAAGAATTCAGTAAGGGCATGATAGAATTTCAGAGCTCCAAAGGGATCTTAGGGCATGCCTGAATCCATCACTTCTTGTTTCTTAGGCATGGACCCTTAAGTGAGACAAAGGTGCTCTGGAAACTCATTATTTGTATTATATGATCCATGTATACTTTTCTCATTCTTTTTCTAGGCAGTTTTAGAAGTCATGACCTTTGCCAAGAACTGTCTTTTCTTTTTGCATTTAGTATTTGGTCAATAATGTTTTGGTTTACTAAAGAATGTATACGTGTCCATTGCTCATTGAAATCCCCTCCTTAAAAACACAATTTTTTATTTCCTGGATATTCTTTGCTACTGCTATTTGCACTGAGTTCACTTCTTTCTCTTTCATATTGCTGAAGGTCATATCAGGGCAGTTCTTATCAGATAAGAAGATTGGCACATACGTTGAAGTGGACATGTATGGGCTGCCCACTGACACCATACGAAAGGAATTCCGAACTCGTATGGTTATGAACAACGGGCTCAATCCAGTTTACAATGAAGAATCGTTTGTGTTTCGGAAGGTAGGACATTGTCAATGTGTCAAAGCCACGCTGATAACATAGGAGCCATTTCAGTGCACAGAACCTATGTGATACAGGGACATCTTGTTTTAACCCGCCATCTTGTTTTCATCCTTTCTTCCAATGTGTATTTTCTATTGTAACTTCTGTATCTATGTCCAGTGATTATTGTTTTTGTTTGGTATGTTCCAAATTGCCTTTCCTCCTTAGAGGTGGCCACCTCCTAGGTGGCAATGCTCAAGCTTGAGGTTTACAATCTGCTGAGAATGTGAATTAACTTGTGGACACCATGGTACTTTGAGAAGTTCTTCCCTCCCCTGAAGTAGGTGGTAACTTGCACTGTTCATTTAGCTGAGAGGTCAGGTTAAGATGCTACACTCAAAACTGAGACCAATAAATGCCATTACATGGGTCACTTTATATAGTCATGTCCCTTCAGAAAGTGTGGAACCTGTCACTACACACAGATTTTATGCTTCATGTGTGAGTTTTCAGTGTTTTACTTTTTTCTCTCTTTCCTACATGCTGGATCAAAAGAACAATCACAGCCTTTCCTCTAATGTTCAGATTTTTTTAATATTTATTTCTTAGTTATAGTTGGACACAATACCTTTATTGTATTTATCTTTATGTGGTGCTGAGGATCAAAACCAGGACCCTGCACATAATAGGTGAGCTCTCTACCGCTAAGCCAGAAACCCAGCCCTAATGTTCAGATTTTAATCTCTTATTCATTCTCCCCTTTTGTTTCCCTTGTCAACTGAAGATGCTTTGAAAAAAAAAAAAACACTCATTGGAAGTACTGCCAAAAAGGTCTGTTTTTCTCTCTCTTACTTGTTCTGATATCCTGTCCAAAATGATTTCTCAATTCTTTCAGCATAGGCTTTCCAGGTGGTTCCGCTCCATTTATATGTCACGGAACACAGACAATCAGCTGCTTGTCTTGAAAGGTTAGGGATTATCCATTTTAGAGTACAGTAACTGGCTTATATAAGCCAAATTAAGGGAGATCTCTGTGGATTTGATAAATCAGGTCATTTTGAAATTTGAGTTCCCCAAACACCATTATCCATTGCACTCCCATCAGCTTTCTTGTGATGTGGGGTGAATGAGCTGTGGTTTCCCCCTTTTTCCTTCCCTGGTCTTTGTAATTAGTTATAGCTGGATATGATGCAGGTATGAAATTGTGTTCTTTGGTATAAGTAATTATCCCCTTATACATTTGTAGAAATTCAGAAAGTTTTCTCAGGTACTCTTTTTTTTATGAATAAGGAAATATCAACTTGGTTTTAATATGTCATATTTCTGACCCAGAAACAAAATGCCAATTCTGGATCCCTTTCTGTTCTTGAGAAGCTAAATTGCCTCTCACAGATATCAAGTGCTTTGTCTCCTTTCTCATTCGTGTTCCTTTTTTGTTGTTTGCATCATTATCACAAGGCAGAAGTGTCTTAAGCCTAAACTCCCAATCACATAAGTAAAAAGAGTGAGGACAGTGGTTGAACTTTAACTAGACTCACCTCTTCATTTTCGTGGAGTTGGAATTAAATTATATTGTCCAGATGTAAATAGGCTAGCTACCCATTGCCTAGCCTAGACACAGCATTCAGATCAGCCAGGATGTCCTGGTTGCTCTCAAGAAGCTAATCAAAAGGCATTCCTAATAAAATACATCGGATTTTCTTTTGTCCTGTTGTTATTTTGTATCTTAATAGATATTCTGCCATCTGAATTCAGATTTTATGTCCATTTATTCAGTTTAGGGATGACAGATATCTTAAAATCAGCATATCTTTATATTTCTTGGACTACTAATGTTTTTAGCTGCTTCTTCCTCTATTTAAATATACAAAAATGTGAAAGAAACAAGGATAATTCAAATGAATACATGGATTGTCTTTTACAAGTGAAACATTTCAAAGGCACTTTACACATTCTTAAAAACAGGTATGCTAAATGTCAGAGCAGCCCAGGTCATGAGACAGTTTATAGGATTAGAAGGCGAGAGCTGCCATGATTAGTCCCCACTCTGTCACTGACAATCTCTGAGGTTAATAAAAGTCACTGATTTCTCAGAGTCTCCTTTGTATCACCCATGACACGAGGAGGAATGGGGAAAGATGACAAAGATTTGAGTCATAATCTTTAATATTCATTCCAACCAACACTTTTGATGACTTCCAGAAAACCTGTTCCAATTACCTTTCTTAGTGCGTTGGCCCTTGTAGCTTACAGAGGACACCTTAGAAATGCTAATGAATCATCAATTCACTTTCACCATAAAGGTATATTTACAAGCAATGTGGATTTGGTCCAGATTCTTAGAGTCATGGTTCTTGGGAGCTGTGTTACAAAAACCAATGAGAAGTCTTGTTCTTTGTTTGTAGGTGATCCTGCCAGACCTGGCTGTCTTGAGAATAGCAGTATATGATGACAACAACAAGCTGATTGGCCAGAGGATCCTTCCACTGGATGGCCTCCAAGCAGGCTATCGACACATTTCCCTTCGGAATGAGGGAAACAAACCATTATCACTGCCAACAATTTTCTGCAATATTGTTCTTAAAACATATGTGCCTGATGGGTTTGGAGGTAAGATAAGCAGGTGGTTAGAGTATGATACAGATGTGGTACTAAATTATAGAATTGTAAAACATTCAGCCTATCCTGAAAAAAGGAATAACAATGGTGTCCTTCCCGCCTATGCTGCAAACCCTGGTCATATTGAAAAAAGTAAGGATAAATGGTAACCTCAGATTTCAAAATAGGAAATGAAAGGACAAGGATAGACTATCTATAATGTCTTTTCTTATTTTAAAATGTTATGCTGCCCAGCAAAGTGGCTCATGTGTGTAATCCCTGCAGCTTGGGAGGCTGAGGCAGGAGGATTGCCAGTTGAAAGCCAGCTTCAGCAAAATCAAAGCACTAAGCAACTTGGTGAGACTCTGTCTCTAAATAAATACAAGTTAGGATTGGGGATGTGGCTCAGTGGTCAAGTACCCCCGAGTTCAATCCCAGGTACCAAAATAATGATCATAACAATAAAATGTTATGCTTTTATAATATTTATTAATTTCTATAATTTTTATGAAGGTTTTATTTGTACTACCAAAGTGAGAAGAAAAATGATATGAAACACTATCTTATCAATTGGCATCACTCAATGATCTTATATTGAACTTGGTTAACAACATACCTCAATTTTCTTCCAAATTCATAAGGCAATAATTTCTTAAAATTCCCAGTCATCAACCCATATTGGCATTTCTGAGGTAATCTGTGGGAAGAATCCAAACTGTATCATATGATAGGATTTTGACTACACCCAAATATGTTAACTCTCCCTAGCCTCCAATAAACCAGGGATATAAAAAAGGGGGGGGACATGATATTGTCAGAGTCATCATACAGAAGGAAACAGCCCAGCAGAGTGACCACATCACCTTAGCCAAGGTCTCAAATCCTAACTGTCCACTGATGGCTAGTGGTCTTGAGAACAAGAGGGAACCTCTCAAACGTCTCGTTTTGTCACCTGCAAAGACAATACAACTACATCAAGTTCAAAAAGTAAATTAAGCCATGAAGGTTTTGTCAGTCTCAAAATCCATAGTACATATTCCTTCTTTCTTCCTCTTTGTTTTTTTACCAAAATTAAGTAAACTAGAAGCAACATGATATAGCAGCAGACAAAAGAACCCATAAAAGTGGTAGGGCAAGGGTGCTGTGGGGCTGGATAAGTGGAACAGAACAGGAGACCAGAAGCCTGGACTGTGTTTGGGAGCTGTGTCCCTACCTGTGGTAAACCCCCAAATCCTGCCTGTGTTGCAACACAACAGTGGCCTGGAGGCATCAACTCAACGGATGCTTTAAATGATCTTCCACATATTTGAGCGTAGGAAGCAGAGAATGTGTGATAAACACCTAATGTACTTTAGAAGTAGTTTTATACATCCATATGGTGGAAAAATTTAAAATTTTGCCCCTGTGTGGGTTAAATTTCAGACAAAACTATAATTCCTTTCTGGGAAAGGAGCCATTTGATTAGGAAAGAGGGAAATAAAATTTGTTGAGCACCTGTATTGTGCCAGGCACTTTAAAGAGAGTCCAAAAATGTGAAATTGTCCTGAATGAATATGGGCATATGTAGATCTATGCTAAAGAAATATCTGTATTTATAATGTAACTTATCGCCAGTGTTGGCATCTAAGTATTGACCCAAATTAATCTCTTGAATAATAGTCCACCAAGTATTCTTCCCTACCAGGTCCCTGTGACTGATTCTATTCTATTCTGGAAGTATTTGAAATTTTCCTGCCATGTTACAGTTGATGGGATTCAGCAGTTGATGTCTTAACCTCTGATTTGACTTTCAAAGACAGTTGATTCAGAATTCACTGGGCCTTTCTTTTATTTGTGAAGAAACTGAGGGAAGATGTTACAAGGTTTAAGGTTCTTATCTGAAGATAACCAGAGAAGAATATGGGGATCGCCTTTCTCCAAATTCTTGATCCCTCTTGATGTACAGATGTATTCATTTTCTTCTGCTTAGCCACCTCCCACATTCAAACCTACATAATAAATCAGTGAGGTAGGATATCTATAGAGTCCATGTTCCTAGAATATTGATGTTCTCTGTTGATTCTGTAGGAACAAGTTCAAAGTGAAACTACTTCATCACACTCCAGCATTACCTAGAGGAAAGAAATAGGTGTCGATATGCAGGATCACATTTTTATTTGGCTAAAGAAAGATAATGTGTATTCATTACTTCATTCCCCAAATATATACAATAAGTTTATTCCATAAAAGGTAGGGCAGCTAAAATATATATCAGAAATTAATTCCGATTACACAAAAAGAGAATAACAGTTCCCCATCAATCCTCTGCCCAGGGTGAACTCCTGTTTACTTTTATCACATTTCGTTTTACATTTTATAATAAAAAACTTGCATCTTAACTGTGCATCCTCATTTGCCCCCTACCCCCGCTTTTTTTCACTTAAAGGAGAATGTCCCATGTCTTGAAATATTTTTTATATTTTTATCAGCTGCATAGGATTACATTTTATTATTCTAGTTTAGTCACTGAAAAACAATGAAGTCATTTCCACTTTTGTCTCTTAGAAACAATATTGATAAGCAACTCAGTGAGACCCTGTCTGTAAATAAAATACAAAATAGGGCTGGGGATGGCTCAGTGGTTGAGTGCCCCTGAGTTCAATCCTTGGTACAAAAACAAAAAAAAATAAAAACAGAAAAAGAAAGATTATTGAACCTTAGAACCCTAAATATAAGGTTTTAGAAATATTTGTCATCATTTCCTGAAGGTGAATTCTTTGAAATGGATTTATCACACCAAAGAGTACATGAGTATTTAAAGCTTCAGGTACAGGTTGCTGAATAGCAAGTGTATGATAAAAATTTTCCAACATTTACCTATTTAAAGAATACATTGATATTTCATTGATGTAATCAATGAAATAGTTTGTAACTGTTTTTGTAACTACTTTTTCTTCTTTAAGATATTTGTATAGTAGTTATTGTTTAGTATCCACTATACAAATAACAAAGAAGAAATGTAAAGCTGAAAAAGTGGTATACACTTAGCCTGAAGAATTTTCCATCTGTGTGCGTATATATATATATATATATATTAAGGTTTATTCATATGCATAAATGTGACACACTGTATGGTAAATGTTGAAAGAGTAGTAGAGCCAAAGGGCATTGAGAACATTGAACTACAGAGTGATTAGCTGGAGTGGGCTGAGGGAGACTTCAGTAGTGGGACATTGAGAGATGACCCATCCTTAATCTGAAAATCTGGCATCCAAAATGTTCTGAAATCCAAAACTTTTTGTCTTGGCAATTTTCTTTTTAAGTTTTTTGGTTCTTTTTAGTTATTCATGACTGTAGAATCCATTTTGATATCATTATGCAAGCATGGAATATATCTTATTCTACTTAATACCCCATTCTTGTGGATGTACATGTGGTGGAATTCACTGTGATGATTCCATGTATCTACATAGGACAATTATGTCAGATTTATTCCACTGTCTTTCCTTCTTCTATCCCCCCTTCCATTCCCTATTGTCTAATCTACTGAACTTCTGTTCTCCCTGCCTCCTTATTTGGATTAGCTTCTACATATCACAGAAAATATTCAATCTTCAGTTTGGGGGGACTGGCTACTTCACTTAGCATGATGGTCTCTAGATCCATCCATTTACTAGCAAATGTCACAGTCATTCTTTATGGTTGAGTCATTTACCATTGTGTGTGTGTGTGTGTGTGTGTGTGTGTGTGTGTGTATCACATTTTCATTATCCACTCTTCTGTTGAAGGATACTTGGTTGGTTACATAGTTTAGCTATTGTGAATTGAGCTGCTATAAACACTGATATGTCTGCATCACTGTAGTATGCTGATGTTAAGTCCTTTGGATGTATACTAAGGAGTGGGATAACTGGGTCAAATGGTGATTCTGTTCCTTTTTTGAGGAATCTCCATACTAATTTCCAGAGTGGTTGCCCTTCTACCAGCAGTGTATTGTAGGACTTTTCCCTTTTCCCCACATCCTTGCCAGCATTTACTGTTGCTTGTATTCTTAATAGTTTTCATTCTGACAGGAGTGAAATGGAAGTCTGTGTAGTTTCAATTTGCGTTTTTCTAATTGCTAGAGATGTTGAACATTTTTTCATGTTTGTTGACTATTCATATTTCTTCTTCTGTGAAGTATCTGTTCAGTTCCAGACACTTATTTTTGGTGGGGGGGGGGTTAAGTTGTTTGAGTTCTTTATGTATACCAGAAATTAATGCTCTATCTAAGGTACAGGTGGCAAAGATTTTCTTCTATTCTGTAGGTTCTTTTTTCATACCTCCCACGTTTTTGGAGAGGCAGAATTAATATTGTCAAAATGGCCATACTACCAAACGTGCTCTACAGATTCAATGCAATTCCCATCAGAGTTCCAATGATGGTCTTCATAGAAATAAATGGAAAAGGCAGTCATAAAAATTTCTTTGCAAAAATAAGAAACCCATAAATAGCCAAAACAATCCTTAGAAAGAAGAGTGAAACAGGAGGCATCATAATACCAGACCCTAAATTATTCTACAGAGCTAGTAACAAAAACAGCATGTTATTGGTGCCAGAACAGGCATGAAGACCAATGGAATAGAATAGAAGACACAGAAAAAAACATACACTAATACAGTTATCTCATACTAGACAAAGGCACCAGAAACATATGTTGAAGAAAAGATAGCCTCTTTAACAAATGGAGCTGGGAAAACTTGAAGTCCATGTGTAACAAAATGAAATTAAACCCCTATCTCTCACCCTGCACAAAACTCAACTCAGTGTGGATCAAGGACCTAAGTATTAGACAGAAACCCTGCACATACTAGAAAAATTGTAGGCCCCACACTCTAACATATCCTCTTAGAAACCGAATTTCTTAACCAGACTCCTAAAGTGCAAGAAGTAAAATAAAAAATCAATAAATGGGATGGCATCAAAAACTTTCCTTTTTTTCACATCATTTTGATGATGAAAAAGTTTTGGATTTCAGTGATTTGAGTTTGGC